CACCGCTACACCAGGTACTCATTTGAGGCTGAGCCGACCTAGGGGGAGGGCCCCAGCAACCGGTGTCGGACAATCGTCACCGGCGGTGTCGGTGGCCGCGAGCGGGAATCGAACTCTGCTGGCCGGGGGTTCGTAGCGCTAACCGCTGCACCACCGCTCCCCCCCCCCCCCCACACACCCCGAGAGACACACGCGGAGAGAGACACCGGGACAGACAGAGACACCGAGACAGACAGAGAGACTCCGAGACAGACAGAGACACGGAGACAGACAGAGACACGGAGACAGACAGAGAGACACCGAGACAGACAGAGAGACACGGAGACAGACAGAGACACGGAGACAGAGAGACACGGAGACAGACAGAGAGACACCGAGACAGACAGAGAGACACCGAGACAGAGAGACACCGAGACACGGAGACAGACAGAGAGACACGGAGACAGACAGAGAGACACCGAGACAGACAGAGAGACACGGAGACAGACAGAGAGACACCGAGACAGAGAGACACGGAGACAGACAGACACCGAGACAGACAGACATCGAGACAGACAGACACCGAGACAGACAGACACCGAGACAGACAGACACGGAGACAGACAGAGAGACACCGAGACAGAGAGACACGGAGACGGGGTTAGATGCGCAACAGACATCAAAGTGTATTCCCAGGTCACCACAAGACCCGCAGGGTTCAGGGAGGTCACACCACGCGTCCCACCCACCGTGACATCCCAAAGCACGCCCTCTACCCACGTGTTCTTCCTGCAACAGGCCTACAGCCGGTTCATTACGGGCAACGCGTACATCATCATTGTCGATTTGTGCGTGCCTCTCTGCCTCGTGCTGATGGGGCTTTGCGAGAGTGAACGCTGAGGTTTATAAGGGCCACGGGGGCTGACCAAGGCGGTCCGAGTTGGTCTGTTAGTCAGGAAAAGGGGGGGCATTGGCGAGGGGTTGACAGGGATGCACCACCAACCCCGACACCCGCTACCCCCCTCCGCCTCCCATTCCACGGTGCGTCTTTGGCAAATTTTATTTTTATGTTTTGGCTGAGGCGGTGGGGGGATGGTGGTGGTGGTGGGGTGAGGAGGTGGGGGGGTGAGGAGGTGGGGTGTGTGGGGGGGGTGAATGGACCGGACCATCGCTCGCGAGGAAAGTTACAAAAATAAAAACGTTTCGGAAGGGTGCCGATTGGGGGTAGAGAGCTGCAACCCCGCCGCACCAAACAGCAGACACACACGCGGATACCGTGTGTGTGTGTCACCACCAGCATGGCCACCGTGTGTATGTGTGTGTCACCACCAGCATGATAGTCGTGTGTGTGTATGTGTGTCACCACCAGCATGGCCACCGTGTGTGTGTGTGTGTGTCACCACCAGCATGGCCACCGTGTGTATGTGTGTGTCACCACCACCAGCATGGCCACCGTGTGTGTGTCACCACCACCAGCATGGCCACCGTGTGTATTACCACCAGCATGATAGTCGTGTGTGTGACCACCAGCATGGCCGCCTGACGGCCGTGTGTATTACCACCAGCATGATAGTTGTGTGTGTGTATGTGTCACCACCAGCATGATAGTCGTGTGTGTGTGTACCCACCAACATGGCCACCTCAAATAAATACCATGTGCCCCCCACCCGAGAGTATGTGTGTATGTTGAACTTCTTTCACACCGTACGTAACCAACCGTGCTATGAGTGTGTTGAACTTCTTTAACACCGTACGTAGCCAACTGTGCTGTGTGAACTTCTTTCACACCGTACGTAGCCAACCGTGCTGTGTGTTGAACTTCTATCACACCGTACGTAGCCAACCGTGCTGTGTGTGTGTGTGAACTTCTTTCACACCGTACGTAGCCAACCGTGCTAATCGGAGGTGCGGGAGGTGGGCGGAAGGACAACAAACTGGACGCAGGGTAGGAATGTGAAATGGAATGTGATCGATTAAGGGACCCCCTTCCCCCCTCCTTGACCCACTGAGGCTGGGCTATCATCGTTGACCCTCCACGATCCTCACCTCGGATCGGCCGCCCCCTGCCCCCTCTCTCCGCTCAGCCGTCGCCACCTCCAACGCCTACAGTACAGCGGGCTAGCGGGCGGGCCTAGCTGAGAAGGGCCTAGCTGGACAGGGCCTAGCTGGACAGGGCCTAGCTGGACAGGGCCTAGCTGGACAGGGCCTAGCTGGACAGGGCCTAGCTGAGCAGGGCCTAGCTGAGCAGGGCCTAGCTGGACAGGGCCTAGCTGGACAGGGCCTAGCTGGACAGGGCCTAGCTGAGCAGGGCCTAGCTGGACAGGGCCTAGCTGAGCAGGGCCTAGCTGGACAGGGCCTAGCTGAGAAGGGCCTAGCTGGACAGGACCTAGCTGGACAGGGCCTAGCTGAGCAGGGCCTAGCTGGACAGGGCCTAGCTGAGAAGGGCCTAGCTGGACATGGCCTAGCTGAGAAGGGCTTAGCTGAGAAGGGCCTAGCTGGACAGGGCCTAGCTGAGAAGGGCCTAGCTGGACAGGGCCTAGCTGGACAGGACCTAGCTGGACAGGGCCTAGCTGGACAGGGCCTAGCTGGACAGGGCCTAGCTGAGAAGGTCTTAGCTGGACAGGGCCTAGCTGGACAGGGCCTAGCTGAGCAGGGCCTAGCTGGACAAGGCCTAGCTGAGCAGGGCCTAGCTGGACAGGGCCTAGCTGGACAGGGCCTAGCTGAGCAGGGCCTAGCTGGACAGGGCCTAGCTGAGAAGGGCCTAGCTGGACAGGGCCTAGCTGGACAGGGCCTAGCTGAGAAGGGTCTAGCTGGACAGGGCCTAGCTGGACAGGGCCTAGCTGGACAGGGCCTAGCTGGACAGGGCCTAGCTGAGAAGGTCTTAGCTGGACAGGGCCTAGCTGGACAGGGCCTAGCTGGACAGGGCCTAGCTGAGCAGGGCCTAGCTGAGCAGGGCCTAGCTGAGCAGGGCCTAGCTGAGCAGGCCTATCTGGACAGGGCCTAGCTGGACAGGGCCTAGCTGAGCAGGCCTAGCTGGACAGGGCCTAGCTGGACAGGGTCTAGCTGGACAGGGCCTAGCTGGTCAGGGCCTAGCTGAGCAGGGCCTAGCTGGACATGGCCTAGCTGGACAGGGCCTAGCTGGACAGGGCCTAGCTGGACAGAGCCTAGCTGAGCAGGGCCTAGCTGGACAGGGCCTAGCTGAGCAGGGCCTAGCTGGACAGGGCCTAGCTGGACAGGGCCTAGCTGGACAGGGCCCAGCTGAGCAGGGCCTAGCTGAGCAGGGCCTAGCTGGACAGGTCCTAGCTGAGAAGGGCTTAGCTGGACAGGGCCTAGCTGAGCAGGGCCTAGCTGGACAGGGCCTAGCTGGACAGGCCCTAGCTGAGCAGGACCTAGCTGAGCAGGGCCTAGCTGAGAAGGGCTTAGCTGGACAGGGCCTAGCTGAGCAGGGCCTAGCTGGACAGGGCCTAGCTGGACAGGGCCTAGCTGGACAGAGCCTAGCTGGACAGGGCCTAGCTGGTCAGGGCCTAGCTGGACAGGCCTAGCTGGACAGGGCCTAGCTGGACAGGGCCTAGCTGGTCAGGGCCTAGCTGGACAGGCCTAGCTGGACAGCGCCTAGCTGGTCAGGCCTAGCTGGACAGGGCCTAGCTGGACAGGGCCTAGCTGGACAGGGCCTAGCTGGTCAGGGCCTAGCTGGACAGGGCCTAGCTGAGCAGGGCCTAGCTGGACAGGCCTAGCTGGACAGGGCCTAGCTGGACAGGGCCTAGCTGGTCAGGGCCTAGCTGGACAGGCCTAGCTGGACAGGGCCTAGCTGGTCAGGCCTAGCTGGTCAGGCCTAGCTGGACAGGGCCTAGCTGAGCAGGGCCTAGCTGGACAGGGCCTAGCTGGTCAGGCCTAGCTGAGCAGGGCCTAGCTGGTCAGGGCCTAGCTGGACAGGGCCAGCGGACGGACCAAGTGGAGAGGGGGGGGGACTGACACACGAGACCCCCTGCGGGGGTCCTGGTTGACGGGGCCCTGGTGGATGGGGGCCCTGGTGGATGGGGGCCCTGGTGGATGGGGGCCCTGGTGGATGGGGGCCCTGGTGGATGGGGCCCTAGTTGACAGGCTTTGGCCGAAGGAGTCCCCTGGTGGAGGGGGTCCCCTGGCAGAGGGAGATCCCCCTGGTGGAGGGAGGTCGCCCTGGAGGAGGGAGGTCCCCCTGGCCATCGGGAGGTCCCCCTGGCGGAGGGAGATCCCCAGATCCCCCTGGAGGGAGATCCCCCTGGCGGAGGGAGATCCCCCGATCCCCCTGACGGAGGAAGATCCCCCTGGCGGAGGGAGATCCCCCAATCCCCCTGGCGGAGGGAGATCCCCCTGGCGGAGGAAGATCCCCCTGGCGGAGGGAGATCCCCCGATCCCCCTGGCGGAGGGAGATCCCCCGATCCCCCTGGCGGAGGGAGATCCCCCTGGCGGAGGGAGATCCCCCTGGCGGAGGGAGATCCCCCGATCCCCCTGGCGGAGGGAGGTCCCCCTGGCAGGAGATCCCCCTGGCGGAGGGAGGTCCCCCTGGCAGAAGGAGATCCCCCTGGCGGAGGGAGGTCCCCCTGGCGGAGGGAGGTCCCCCTGGCGGAGGGAGATCCCCCGATCCCCCTGGCGGAGGGAGATCCCCCGATCCCCCTGGCGGAGGGAGGTCCCCCTGGCGGAGGGAGATCCCCCGATCCCCCTGGCGGAGGGAGATCCCCCTGGCGGAGGGAGATCCCCCGATCCCCCTGGCGGAGGGAGATCCCCCGATCCCCCTGGCGGAGGGCGATCCCCCTGGCGGAGGGAGTTCCCCCGATCCCCCTGGCGGAGGGAGGTCCCCCTGGCGGAGGGAGATCCCCCGATCCCCCTGGCGGAGGGAGTTCCCCCGATCCCCCTGGCGGAGGGCGATCCCCCTGGCGGAGGGAGTCCCCCCGATCCCCCTGGCGGAGGGAGATCCCCCGATCCCCCTGGCGGAGGGAGATCCCCCGATCCCCCTGGCGGAGGGAGATCCCCCTGGCGGAGGGAGATCCCCCGATCCCCCTGGCGGAGGGAGGTCCCCTTGGCAGGAGATCCCCCTGGCGGAGGGAGTCCCCCCGATCCCCCTGGCGGAGGGAGTTTCCCCCCCGGCTACTTGCCGGCGTACATGCGCTCAATGTCCGGCAGGTAGCGAGTGCGCAGCTCCGTGCGCTTGAGCTTGAACGCGTCGGTGACGAGGCCGGTCTCTGGGGTCCACGGCTCTGGGCTCAGGCGCACCTTCACTGGCACCTCGAACTTCTCCAGACGCGCTGCGCACACACACGCAGGGATACGTGTACAGGTGCGTGTACAGGTACATATACAGGTACGTGTACAGGCACGTGTACAGGCACGTGTACAGGTACGTGTACAGGTACGTGTACAGGTACGTGTACAGGTGCGTGTACAGGTACATATACAGGTACGTGTACAGGCACGTGTACAGGCACGTGTACAGGCACGTGTACAGGTACGTGTACAGGTACGTGTACAGGTACGTGTACAGGCACGTGTACAGGTACGTGTACAGGTACGTGTACAGGCACGTGTACAGGTACGTGTACAGGTACGTGTACAGGTACGTGTACAGGTACGTGTACAGGTACGTGTACAGGCGCGTGTACAGGCACGTGTACAGGCACGTGTACAGGCACGTGTACAGGTACATATACAGGTACGTGTACAGGTACGTGTACAGGCACGTGTACAGGCACGTGTACAGGTACGTGTGCAGGCACGTGTACAGGCACGTGTACAGGTACGTGTACAGGTACGTGTACAGGCACGTGTACAGGTACGTGTACAGGCACGTGTACAGGTACGTGTACAGGCACGTGTACAGGCACGTGTACAGGTACGTGTACAGGTACGTGTACAGGCACGTGTACAGGCACGTGTACAGGTACGTGTACAGGTACGTGTACAGGTACATATACAGGTACGTGTACAGGCACGTGTACAGGCACGTGTACAGGTACGTGTACAGGTACATATACAGGTACGTGTACAGGCACGTGTACAGGTACGTGTACAGGTACGTGTACAGGCACGTGTACAGGTACATGTACAGGTACGTGTACAGGTACGTGTACAGGTACGTGTACAGGCACGTGTACAGGTACGTGTACAGGTACGTGTACAGGTACGTGTACAGGTGCGTGTACAGGTACGTGTACAGGTACGTGTACAGGCGCGTGTACAGGTACGTGTACAGGTACGTGTACAGGCACGTGTACAGGTACGTGTACAGGTACGTGTACAGGCACGTGTACAGGCACGTGTACAGGCACGTGTACAGGTACATGTACATGTACGTGTACAGGTACGTGTACAGGCACGTGTACAGGTACGTGTACAGGTACGTGTACAGGCACGTGTACAGGTACGTGTACAGGTACGTGTACAGGTACGTGTACAGGTACGTGTACAGATATGTACTGACAAGGTACGGGCTTGTGTACACACGCACGCGCTCGCGAACACACGCACGCGCGTGTATATATACACACACACACGTACGTACACACGCGTGCAGAAACGCACACATGCGCTCGTACACACACACACGCTCGTACACACACACACGCACGTACACACAGACACGCACGCGCGTGTATACACACATACACACACACATACGCACATACACACACGCACACACGCTCGTACGCACACACACGTGTACACACGCACATGTGCGCACACAGACACGCACGCACGTGTACACACACACACGTACACAGAGACACACACACACGTACACAGAGACACAGACACGCGAGTCCACGCCCCCCGCCACACCCACACCCCCCCGCCCCCACCTTTGCGAGCGGCCTCCGCGATGGCGAGCAGCACCTCGCGCTCAATGTCGCCGTGGTTACACAGGTCCTCAAAGGTACCCACAATGCCACGCTGCTTCGCCAGGCTGGTGAGGCGCTCCTTGTTGGGCACCACGAAGCTGATGACGTACGACTGCGAGCTGGGGTCGGGGGGAGGGTGGGGTCATTCCGAGAGGTCAAAGGGCGAGATAGTCAACGTCTCGGCAAGTACAGGGGTCGTCAGGGGTCGGGATGGAACCCACGACCTCCCGCACACCAGGCGAGGTAGTCAACATCTCGGCAAATACAGGAGTCACGGTCGGGATCGAAACCACGACGTCCCGCACACCAGGCGAGGTAGTCAACATCTCCTAGCCACCGTGATGACGATGAGAGAGAGACGCAGACTCCAAATATACAGCAGCAGTTAGGGTCGGGATGGAACCCACGACCTCCTGCACACCAGGCGAGGTAGTCAACATCTCATAGCCACCGTGATGATGAGGAAAGAGAGAGACGCAGACTCCAAATATACAGCAGCAGTTAGGGTCAGGATCTAACCCACGACCTCCTGCACACCAGGCGAGGTAGTCAACATCTCCTAGCCACCGTGATGATGAGGAAAGAGAGAGACGCAGACTCCAAATATACAGCAGCAGTTAGGGTCAGGATCTAACCCACGACCTCCTGCACACCAGGCGAGGTAGTCAACATCTCATAGCCACCGTGATGATGAGGAAAGAGAGAGACGCAGACTCCAAATATACAGCAGCAGTTAGGGTCAGGATCTAACCCACGACCTCCTGCACACCAGGCGAGGTAGTCAACATCTCCTAGCCACCGTGATGATGAGGAAAGAGAGAGACACGCAGACTCCAAATATACAGCAGCAGTTAGGGTCAGGATCTAACCCACGACCTCCTGCACACCAGGCGAGGTAGTCAACATCTCCTAGCCACCGTGATGATGATGAGAGAGAGACACACAAACTCCAAATATACAGCAGCAGCAGCAGCAGGCATCGTCAGGGGTCGGGATGGAACCCACGACCTCCTGCACACCAGGCGAGGTAGTCAACATCTCCTGGCCACCGTGGGGTCCTTTACCTGGTGGCGTAGGCACAGATGTTGTCGATGAGGGCGCAGCTCTTGAGAGCCGACTCGACCTTGCCCAGAGCCACGTACTCTCCCGCCTGGAGCTTCACCAGGTCCTTCTTGCGGTCTGGGTGAGGGGTTAGATCCACGTAAATATAAACGCTGTGTGTGTCGTTAATCCCCGCCACCACCCGACAAAGGCGATTCGTTAAGGCGTTTGCCACGTTAACACAACGTGGCCAATTCGTTACTAGTACAGCACTAACCGGTTGCTGTGTGTTGGAGAGTTAAACCCACTACAACATTCACAATTCGTTACTAGTACAGCACTAACCGGTTGCTGTGTGTTAGAGAGTTAAACCCACTACAACATTAACAATTCGTTACTAGTACAGCACTAACCGGTTGCAGTGTGTTAGAGAGTTAAACCCACTGCAACATTTACAATTCGTTACTGGTACAGCACTAACCGGTTGCTGTGTGTTGGAGAGTTAAACCCACTGCAACATTTACAATTCGTTACTAGTACAGCACTAACCGGTTGCTGTGTGTTGGAGAGTTAAACCCACTGCAACATTTACAATTCGTTACTAGTACAGCACTAACCGGTTGCTGTGTTGGAGAGTTAAACCCACTGCAACATTTACAATTCGTTACTAGTACAGCACTAACCAGTTGCTGTGTGTTGGAGAGTTAAACCCACTACTACATTTACAATTCGTTACTAGTACAGCACTAACCGGTTGCTGTGTGTTGGAGAGTTAAACCCACTGCAACATTTACAATTCGTTACTAGTACAGCACTAACCGGTTGCTGTGTGTTGGAGAGTTAAACCCACTACAACATTTACAATTCGTTACTAGTGCAGCACTAACCGGTTGTGCATTGGCAGAGCAAATCCAGAACATTTACAATAATTTATGTTCACGTGAACTAACCTGTATTATGGATAATATTGGTCGCGAAAGCCTACATGTTAAAACCTTAACAGGCTGTAGGGGCAAGTGCTGTGAGTAGCAGCAGCACCTATAGACACACAGACAAAGGTCCCCCGTGTAGCCTCTAACAGGCTGTAGGGACAAGTGCTGTTAGCGAGCAGCACCTGTGAAGGCTACCGGCACTGTGGCACACGAGGGGGTGGGTGGCCAGCACCACGCCCGACCGCCTTTGTCTCCCCAGTGGCGATGTTCACTACACACCGCTACACCAGGTACTTATTTGAGGCTGAGTCGACCTAGGGGAGGCCCGGGACCGGTTCAGATAATCGTCACTGGTGGTGTTGGCCGTGAGCGGGAATCGAACTTGGGTTGCCGGGTTCGTAGCGCAGCGTAGTGCTAACCGCTGCACCACCGCTCCTCACTGGGTGCACTACACACACTGACATTTGGTACACACACACAGACACGTGGTACACACACACAGACACGTGGTACACACACATACACGCGCGTGGTACACACACACACACGTGGCACACACACACGTGGTACACACACACACGCGCGTGGTACACACACACACGCGCGTGGTACACACACACACGCGCGTGGTACACACACACACGCGCGTGGTACACACACACACGCGCGTGGTACACACACACACGCGCGTGGTACACACACACACGCGCGTGGTACACACACACACGCGCGTGGTACACACACACACGCGCGTGGTACACACACACACGCGCGTGGTACACACACACACGCGCGTGGTACACACACACACGCGCGTGGTACACACACACACGCGCGTGGTACACACACACACGCGCGTGGTACACACACACGCGCGTGGTACACACACACGCGCGTGGTACACACACACGCGCGTGGTACACACACACGCGCGTGGTACACACACACGCGCGTGGTACACACACACGCGCGTGGTACACACACACACACACGTGGTACACACACACACACGTGGTACACACACACACACGTGGTACACACACACACAGACACATGGTACACACACGCGCGGTACACACACACGCGCGCGGTACACACACACACGCGCGCGGTACACACACACGCGCGCGGTACACACACACGCGCGGTACACACACACGCGCGTGGTACACACACACAGACACATGGTACACACACGCGCGTGGTACACACACGCGCGTGGTACACACACCACACGCGTGGTAAACATACACACGTGGTACACACACACGTGGTACACACACAGACACATGGTACACACACGCGCGGTACACACACACACGTGGTACACACACCACACGTGGTACACACATACACACGTGGTACACACACACACACACGTGGTACACACACACACACACGTGGTACACAAACACACACACGTGGTACACACACACACACGCGTGGTACACACACACACGCGTGGTACACACACACACGCGTGGTACACACACACACGCGTGGTACACACACACACGTGGTACACACACACACAGACACATGGTACACACACGCGCGGTACACACACACGCGCGGTACACACACACGCGCGCGGTACACACACACGCGCGTGGTACACACACACAGACACATGGTACACACACGCGCGTGGTACACACACGCGCGTGGTACACACACCACACGCGTGGTACACACACGTGGTACACACACACGTGGTACACACACACGTGGTACACACACACACACGTGGTACACACACACACACGTGGTACACACACACACACACGTGGTACACACACACACGTGGTACACACACACACACGTGGTACACACACACACACTAACACACACACACACGTGGTACACACACACACACGTGGTACACACACACACACACACGTGGTACACACACACACACGTGGTACACACACACACACACGTGGTACACACACACACACGTGGTACACACACACACACGTGGTACACACACCACACGCGTGGTACACACACACGCGTGGTACACACACAGAGAAGTCGTCCGTCACAAAGTCCCTGAGAGTCCCCCCTCGCCAGAGGAGTCGTCCGTCACAAAGCCCCCCTCACCCCCCCCTCGCCGGAGGAGTCGTCCGTCACAAAGCCCCCCAGAGTCCCCCCCTCGCCAGGGGAGTCGTCCGTCACAAAGTCCTCCTCGCCCCCCCCTCGCCAGAGGAGTCGTCCGTCACAAAGCCCCTCAGAGTCCCCCCTCGCCAGAGGAGTCGTCCGTCACAAAGTCCCCCGAGCCCCCCCCCCCCGCCAGGGGAGTCGTCCGTCACAAATCCCCTCAGAGTCCCCCCCTCGCCAGAGGAGTCGTCCGTCACAAAGTCTTCCTCGCCCCCCCCTCGCCAGAGGAGTCGTCCGTCACAAAGCCCCTCAGAGTCCCCCCTCCCCAGAGGAGTCGTCCGTCACAAAGCCCCCCTCACCCCCCCTCGCCAGGGAGTCGTCCGTCACAAAGTCCCCCGAGCCCCCCCCCCCTCGCCAGGGGAGTCGTCCGTCACAAAGTCCCCCGAGCCCCCCCCCCCTCGCCACCCCCTCGCCAGGGGAGTCGTCCGTCACAAAGCCCCCCTCACCCCCCCCCCCTCGCCAGAGGAGTCGTCCGTCACAAAGCCCCCCAGAGTCCCCCCCGCCCAGCCCGGCCCCACCAGGTTGCGCCGTACCCACGATGGCGAGGCTGCCGTCGGGGCCGAACTGCCCCACGTCGCCGGTGCAGAACCACCGCTGTGGGGGGCCGCCCGGGGAGGAGTCGTCCGTCACGAAGTCCCCCGACTCCCCCCCGCCGGGGGGCAGCCCCGCCCCGCGGTAGTAGCCCAGCGCCACGTTGCCTCCCCCCACCAGAATCTCGCCCCGCGGGCTCGGGGAGTCGCGAGTCGTGTAGCCTCCTGGGGGGCGGGGCGGGGTGGGGGGGGAGGGGCGGGGTGGGGGGGGGGGGGGGGGGGGGCGGGGTGGGGGGCGGGGCGGGGGGAGGGGCGGGGGGAGGGGTTGGGATGAGTGACCTGAGACTGTCCCGTGACCCACAATGAGTGTGTAGGCGGTGTGTGAGTGTGTGGGTGTGTAGAGTGTGTGTGAGTGTGTGTGAGTGTGTGGGTGTGTGAGTGTGGTGTGAGTGTGTGTGGGTGTGTGTGGGTGTGTGGTGTGTGTGGGTGTGAGTGTGTAGCGGTGTGAGTGTGTGTGAGTGTGTGTGAGTGTGTATGAGTGTGTGTGAGTGTGTGTGAGTGTGTGGGTGTGTGGCGGTGTGTGAGTGTGTGTGAGTGTGTGTGAGTGTGTGTGGGTGTGTGTGAGTGTGTGAGTGTGTGTGAGTGTGTGTGGGTGTGTGTGGGTGTGTGGGTGTGTGTGGGTGTGAGTGTGTAGCGGTGTGGGTGTGTGAGTGTGTGTGAGTGTGTGTGAGTGTGTGTGAGTGTGTGGGTGTGTGGGTGTGTGTGTGGGTGTGTGTGGGTGTGAGTGTGTAGCGGTGTGAGTGTGTGTGTGTGAGTGTGTGTGTGTGAGTGGGTGTGAGTGTGTGTGGGTGTGTATGTGTGTGTGGGTGTGAGTGTGTGAGTGTGTGTGAGTGTGTGTGTGTGAGTTTGTGGGGGTGTGTGAGTGGGTGAGTGTGTGTGAGTGTGTGTGAGTGTGTGTATGTGTGTATGTGTGTGAGTGTGTGTGAGTGTGTGTGGGTGTGTGGGGGTGAGTGTGTGTGTGTGAGCGTGTGTGTGAGTGTGTGTGGGTGTGTGGGGGTGAGTGTGTGTGTGTGAGTGTGTGTGTGTGAGTGTGTGTGGGTGAGTGTGTGTGTGTGGGTGTGAGTGTGTGGGGGTGAGTGTGTGTGTGGGTGTGTGGGGGTGAGTGTGTGTGTGGGTGTGAGTCTGTGGGGGTGAGTGTGTGTGGGTGTGAGTGGGTGTGTGGGTGTGAATGTGTGGGTGTGGGTGTTTAACTCGTGGTTTCGTGGTAATTAATTGAAGGTGGAGGGGTTACCAGCCCCTCGCACCCGTCCAGAGCCCCCGTTTAGCCCCTGTGGTGGACACATATGCCATGAGGGGAGGAGCCAATCAAAATTGGATCTCCCCCCACAGCACTGTCCACGACAGAGTTGCCCGTCCGGCACCGCGAGGAGGTAGGGGGTTGTTTTGCCGGACTGGATTGTGTGAGGAGCTCACAAATCCTTGAAAGATCTGGGCAAGGTCCCATCGGTGAGCTCCTCCGGCGGGCAAGGCTGCGATGGCTGGGTCATGTAGCCCGCATGCCCAGCCACCGCATGCCGAAACAGCTTTTGTTCGGCCGGATTGAGGGGGCAAAGCGGGCGCGGCACGGGCTAGAGAAGAGATGGAGTGATGTGGTACAGGAGGACGTGGAGCTGAGTGGACTTGCCGATGACTGGTACCAGCGGTGTCAAGATCGGCCTCTGTGGAGGAGGCTCGTGAAGGACGCTACTGGGCAGTTGGAGGCAGTCGCCCTCCAACAACAACGGAGGGCGGAGGAGCGACGCTCACAACAACGAGCGGAGCGCCGGGTGGCTAAAGCACAGCAGGTTGGCACAGTAGGGGGCACAGGTGGTGCATCAGCCAGTCATCTCAGTCAGTCGACCCGTGGCACCTGGGTCTGCCCCGTGACCTCCTGCCAGCGGGCGTTCGACACTTCACGTGGCCTCAGGGTGCACATGGCCTGGCACAAGCGTCGTGGTGATGTCATCGCCACTTAGTGGCGAATGGCGGTTGTTGTTGGGTGGGTGTGAGTCTGTGGGGGTGAGTGTGTGTGAGTGGGTGTGTGTGAGTGTGTGTGTGAGTGTTGGTGAGTGTGAGTGAGTGTGGGTGAGTGAGTGTTGGTGAGTGTGAGTGAGTGTGGGTGAGTGAGTGTGGGTGAGTGTGTGTGTGTGAGTGTGTGTGGGTGAGTGTGTGTGGGTGTATGTGTGAGTGTGTGTGGGTGTGTGTGTGTGAGTGTGAGTGTTGGTGAGTGTGTGTGTGTGAGTGTTGGTGAGTGTGAGTGAGTGAGTGTGTGTGTGAGTGAGTGTGAGTGTTGGTGAGTGAGTGTGTGAGTGTGTGTGTGAGTGAGTGTGTGAGTGTGTGTGAGTGTTGGTGAGTGTTGGTGAGTGTGAGTGAGTGTGAGTGTGTGTGAGTGTTGGTGAGTGTGAGTGAGTGTTGGTGAGTGTTGGTGAGTGTGTGTGTGTGAGTGTGTGTGTGTGAGTGTGTGTGTGTGAGTGTTGGTGAGTGTGTGTGAGTGTGTGTGTGTGAGTGAGTGTGAGTGTGTGTGAGTGTTGGTGAGTGTGTGTGTGAGTGTGTGTGAGTGTGTGTGTGAGTGTTGGTGAGTGTGTGTGTGAGTGAGTGTGTGTGAGTGTGTGTGTGAGTGTTGGTGAGTGTGAGTGAGTGTGTGTGAGTGTGTGTGAGTGAGTGTGTGTGAGTGTGTGTGTGAGTGTTCGTGAGTGTGTGAGTGTGTGTGAGTGAGTGTGTGTGAGTGTGTGTGTGAGTGTTGGTGAGTGTGTGAGTGTGAGTGAGTGTTGGTGAGTGTTGGTGAGTGTGTGTGTGTGAGTGTGTGTGTGTGAGTGTGTGTGAGTGTTGGTGAGTGTGTGTGAGTGTGTGTGTGTGAGTGAGTGTGAGTGAGTGTTGGTGAGTGTGTGTGTGAGTGTGTGTGAGTGTGTGTGAGTGTGTGTGTGTGAGTGTTGGTGAGTGTGTGTGTGAGTGTTTCAGTGTGTGTGAGTGTGTGTGTGAGTGTGTGAGTGTGTGTGTGAGTGAGTGTGTGAGTGAGTGTGTGAGTGTGAGTGAGTGTGAGTGAGTGTGTGTGAGTGTGAGTAAGTGTGAGTGTGTGTGAGTGAGTGTGAGTGTGTGTGAGTGAGTGTGTGTGAGTGTGAGTGAGTGTGAGTGAGTGTGAGTGAGTGTGTGTAAGTGTGAGTGTGTGTGAGTGTGAGTGAGTGTGAGTGAGTGTGAGTGAGTGTGAGTGAGTGTGTGTAAGTGTGAGTGAGTGTGTGAGTGAGTGAGTGTGAGTGAGTGTGAGTGAGTGTGAGTGTGTGTGAGTGTGAGTGAGTGTGTGTGAGTGTGAGTGAGTGTGTGAGTGTGTGTGTGAGTGAGTGTGTGAGTGTGTGTGAGTGTGAGTGAGTGTGTGTGAGTGTGTGTGAGTGAGTGTGTGTGAGTGAGTGTGTGTAAGTGTGAGTGAGTGTGTGTGTGAGTGAGTGTGTGTAAGTGTGAGTGAGTGTGTGAGTGAGTGAGTGTGGCCGCTCACCCTCCTCCCAGTCTCGTAGGCGGATCTCACAGCAGACGAGCGGTGCTCCCACGTGACCCGTGCTGTAGTCACTGGCTGCACACAAAGGCCACACCCCCTGGTTACCGTGAGTGATGGAGCCACGCCCCCTGGTTACCGTGAGTGATGGAGCCGCACCCCCGGTTACCGTGAGTGATGTAGCCACACCCCCCATTTACCGTGAGTGATGTAGCCACACCCCCTGGTTACCGTGAGTAATGTAGCCACACCCCCTGGTTACCGTGAGTGAGGGAGCCACACCCCCTGGTTACCGTGAGTGATGTAGCCACACCCCCCGGTTACCGTGAGTGATGGAGCCACACCCCCCGGTTACCGTGAGTGAGGGAGCCACACCCCCTGGTTACCGTGAGTGATGTAGCCACACCCCCCGGTTACCGTGAGTGATGGAGCCACACCCCCCGGTTACCGTGAGTGAGGGAGCCACACCCCCCTGGTTACCGTGAGTGATGTAGCCACACCCCCCGGTTACCGTGAGTGATGTAGCCGCACCCCCCGGTTACAGTGAGTGATGGAGCCACACCCCCTGGTTACCGTGAGTGATGGAGCCGCACCCACTGGTTACCGTGAGTGATGGAGCCACACCCCCCGGTTACCGTGAGTGATGGAGCCACACCCCCCGGTTACTGTGAGTGATGGAGCCACACCCCCCGGTTACCGTGAATGATGGAGCCACACCCCCCGGTTACCGTGAGTAATGGAGCCGCACCCCCTGGTTACCGTGAGTGATGTAGCCACACCCCCTGGTTACCGTGAGTGATAGAGCCACACCCCCCCGGTTACCGTGAGTGATGTAGCCGCACCCCCCAGTTACCATGAGTGATGTAGCCACACCCTCCGGTTACCGTGAGTGATGGAGCCACACCCCCCGGTTACCGTGAGTGATGTAGCCACACCCCCCGGTTACCGTGAGAGATGGAGCCGCACCCCCCGGTTACTGTGAGTGATGGAGCCGCACCCCCCGGTTACCGTGAGTGATGTAGCCACACCCCCTGGTTACCGTGAGGGAGCCACACCCCCTGGTTACCGTGAGTGATGTAGCCACACCCCCCGGTTACCGTGAGTGATGTAGCCACACCCCCCCCCCCCCCCCCCCGGTCACCGTGGTTACCGCGAGTGATGGAGCCGCACCCCCCCCCCCCCCGGTCACCGTGGTTACCGCGAGTGATGGAACCACACCCCCCGGTCACCATGAGTGATGTAGCCACACCCTCCGGTTACCGTGAGAGATGGAGCCGCACCCCCCGGTTACTGTGAGTGATGGAGCCACACCCCCCGGTTACCGTGAGTGATGTAGCCACACCCCCTGGTTACCGTGAGGGAGCCACACCCCCTGGTTACCGTGAGTGATGTAGCCACACCCCCCGGTCACCATGAGTGATGGAGCCACACCCCCCCGGTCACCGCGAGTGAGGGAGCCACACCCCCTGGTTACCGTGAGTGATGGAGCCACACCCCCCGGTTACCGTGAGTGATGGAGCCACACCCCCCGGTTACCGTGAGTGATGTAGCCACACCCCCCGGTTACCGTGAGTGATGGAGCCACACCCCCCGGTTTTTGTGAGTGATGGAGCCACACCCCCTGGTTACCGTGAGTGATGGAGCCACACCCCCCAGTTACCGTGAGTGATGGAACTGCACCCCTCGGTTACCGTGAGTGATGGAGCCACGCCCCCCGGTTACCGTGAGTGATATAGCCATACCCCCCGGTTACCGTGAGTGATGGAACTGCACCCCCCGGTTACCGTGAGTGATATAGCCACACCCCCCGGTTACCGTGAGTGATGGAGCCACACCCCCTGGTTACCGTGAGTGATGGAGCCACACCCCCCGGTTACCGTGAGTGATGGAGCCACACCCCCCGGTTACCATGAGTGATGTAGCCACGCCCCCCCGGTTACCGCGAGTGATAGAGCCACACCCCCCGGTCACCGTGGTTACCGTCGGTGATGGTGCCGGCGCCGCAGGTCTCCGTGAGACCGTATCCCTGCAGGACGGGGCAGCTGAAGCAGACGTTCATGAAACGCTGCGTGTCCGGGCAGAGGGGCGCACCGCCACACAGCATCATGCGGATGCAGCCCCCCAGGATCCCGGCCACCTTGCTGAACACCAGCCTACAGAGGCAAAGGTCCACCGTGTAGCCTCTAACAGGGCTGTAGGGGCAAGTGTTGTGTGTAGCGAGCAGCACTTATAGACACACAGACAAAGGTCCCCCGTGTAGCCTCTAACAGACTGTAGGGGCAAGTGCTGTGAGTAGCGAGCAGCACCTATAGACACACAGACAAAGGTCCCCCGTGTAGCCTCTAACAGGGCTGTAGGGGCAAGTGGCTGTGTGTAGCAGCTATAGACGCACAGACAAAGGTCCCCCGTGTAGCCTCTAACAGGGCTGTGGGGGCAAGTGCTGTGAGTAGCGAGCAGCACCTATAGACACACAGACAAAGGTCTCCCGTGTAGCCTCTAACAGGGCTGTAGGGGCAAGTGCTGTGTGTAGCGAGCAGCACTTATAGACACACAGACAAAGGTCCCCCGTGTAGCCTCTAACAGGCTGTAGGGGCAAGTGCTGTTAGTAGCGAGCAGCACCTATAGACACACAGACAAAGGTCCCCCGTGTAGCCTTAACAGGCTGTAGGGGCAAGTGCTGTTAGCGAGCAGCACCTATAGACACACAGACAAAGATCCCCCGTGTAGTCTCTAACAGACTGTAGGGGCAAGTGCTGTCAGCGAGCAGCACCTGTGAAGGCTACCGGCACCGTTGCACACGAGGGGGGTGGGTGGCCCAGCAACCACGCCCGGCCGCCTTTGTCTCCCCAGTGCTAGCGATGTTCACTACACAGCGCCACACCGGGTACTCAGTTGAGGCCGAGCCCACCAAGGGCGAGGCCCAGGTACCGGTTCAGATAATGGTCACCGCTGGTGCCGTACCTCCACGTGTACCACTGTGTGTACCTCCACGTGTACCACCTCCGCACGTGCCCTACGCACGTGCCCTCCGCACGTGCCCTCCGCACGTGCCCTCCACACGTACCAGTTGCAGAGCGGCGTGTCGGCGCCCTGGGCCAGGTGGCGTATCTTGTAGCCGTAAGCGGCGTGGAAGACGGCTCTCTGTGGAGCGCTCATCTCTGCCACGCGGCCCATCACCGACTTCTTGATGCGGTCCATGATCTCCTGGGCGACGGGGAGACACGCGGAGGGAGAGACACGCGGGGGAGAGACACGCGGAGGGAGAGACACGGGGGAGACACGTGGGGGAGACACGGGGGGAGATACGCCGGGGAGACACGCGGAGGGAGAGACACGGAGGGAGAGACACGGGGGAGACACGTGGGGGAGACACGCCGGGGAGACACGCGGGGAGACAAGCGGGGAGACACGCGGGGAGACAAGCGGGGAGACACGCGGGGAGACACGCGGGGGGAGAGACACGGGAGAGACACGCGGGGGGACAAGCGGGGAGACACGCGGGGGAGACACGCGGGGGGAGAGACACGGGGAGACACGCGGGGAGACACGTGGGGAGACACGCGGGGAGACAAGCGGGGAGACACGCGGGGGGAGACACACGGGGAGACACGCGGGGAGACACGTGGGGGGAGACACGCGGGGAAGACAAGCGGGGGAGACACGCGGGGAGACACGTGGGGGAGACACGCGAGGAGACACGCGGGGAAGGGAGTGAGTGAGCTAAAGTGCGAGTGGGTGGAGTGTGCGTGTGTGTGAACGTGCAAGTTAGGAGTGTTGCTGCTCACTCACAACACTTGCCCTCCCACGCTCTGTGAAGGCTACCAGGGGTGGCTGGGGCTCGTTGGCAGCTCACTCACAACACTTGCCCCCTCACGCTCTGTGAAGGCTACCAGGGGTGGGTGGGTGGGGTTGGTTGGCTGCTCACTCACAACACTTGCCACCCGACGCTCTGTGAAGGCTACCCAGGGGTGGCTGGGGTTGGTTGGCTGCTCACTCACAACACTTGCCCCTCCGACGCTCTGTGAAGGCTACCAGGGGTGGGTGGGTGGGGTTGGTTGGCTGCTCACTCACAACACTTGCCCCTCACGCTCTGTGAAGGCTACCCAGGGGTGGCTGGGGCTCGTTGGCAGCTCACTCACAACACTTGCCCCCTCACGCTCTGTGAAGGCTACCAGGGGTGGGTGGCTGGGGTTGGTTGACTGCTCACTCACAACACTTGCCCCTCCGACACTCTGTGAAGGCTACCAGGGGTGGGTGGGTGGGGTTGGTTGGCTGCTCACTCACAACACTTGCCCCTCCGACGCTCTGTGAAGGCTACCAGGGGGGCTGGGGTTGGCTGCTCACTCACAACACTTGCCCTCCGACGCTCTGTGAAGGCTACCAGGGGTGGGTGGCTGGGGTTGTTTGGCTGCTCACTCACAACACTTGCCCTCCCACGCTCTGTGAAGGCTACCCAGGGGTGGCTGGGGCTCGTTGGCAGCTCACTCACAACACTTGCCCCCTCACGCTCTGTGAAGGCTACCAGGGGTGGGTGGGTGGGGTTGGTTGGCTGCTCACTCACAACACTTGCCCCTCCGACGCTCTGTGAAGGCTACCAGGGGTGGGTGGGTGGGGTTGGTTGGCTGCTCACTCACAACACTTGCCCCTCACGCTCTGTGAAGGCTACCAGGGGTGGGTGGGTGGGGATCGTTGGCTGCTCACTCACAACACTTGCCCCTCCGACACTCTGTGAAGGCTACCAGGGGTGGGTGGGTCGGGTTGGTTGGCTGCTCACTCACAACACTTGCCACCCGACGCTCTGTGAAGGCTACCCAGGGGTGGCTGGGGTTGGTTGGCTGCTCACTCACAACACTTGCCCCTCGACGCTCTGTGAAGGCTACCAGGGGTGGGTGGCTGGGGTTGGTTGGCTGCTCACTCACAACACTTGCCCCTCGACGCTCCGTGAATGCTACCAGGAGTGGGTGGCTGGGGTTGGTTGACTGCTCACTCACAACACTTGCCCCTCCGACACTCTGTGAAGGCTACCAGGAGTCGGTGGGTGGGGTTGGTTGGCTGCTCACTCACAACACTTGCCACCCGACACTCTGTGAAGGCTACCCAGGGGTGGCTGGGGTTGGTTGGCTGCTCACTCACAACACTTGCCCCTCCGACGCTCTGTGAAGGCTACCAGGGGTGGGTGGCTGGGGTTTGTTGGCTGCTCACTCACAACACTTGCCCCTCGATGCTCTGTGAAGGCTACCCAGAGGTGGGTGGGGTTGGTTGGCTGCTCACTCACAACACTTGCCCCTCGATGCTCTGTGAAGGCTACCCAGAGGTGGGTGGGGTTGGTTGGCTGCTCACTCACAACACGTGCCCCCTCCCACGCTCTGTGAAGGCTACCGTGGGTGGCTGGGGTTGTTTGGCTGCTCACTCACAACACTTGCCCCTCCGACGCTCTCTGAAGGCTACCCAGAGGTGGGTGGCTGGGGTTGGTTGGCTGCTCACTCACAACACTTGCCCCTCGACGCTCTGTGAAGGCTACTAGGGGTGGGTAGGGTTCGTTGGCTGCTCACTCACAACACGTGCCCCCTCCCACGCTCTGTGAAGGCTACCGTGGGTGGCTGGGGTTGTTTGGCTGCGTAGCGGCGAGACGGTGAGTACCCACCGGCACGGCCGCCATGAGTGTGGGCTTTAGCACTGACACATCGCCCTTGCCACCCCTCTTGATTTTGCTGGACTGTGCGGGTCGTGGGCACGGGTTGTCAGGGGGAAGAGGGGGGTAAGTAAGGAGGGGGGGGGGGGGGGGCAGAGGTCAGAGGTCAGCGATCATCTGAGCAGATGCAATGGGCATGAGCACGATGATACGGTAGTGGTGGTGGTGGCGGTGATGGTGGTGGTGGTGGTGATGGTGGTGGTGGTGATGGTGGTGATGGTGGTGATGGTGGTGGTGATGGTGGTGGTTGTGATGATGGTGATGATGGTGGTGGTGATGATGGTGATGATGGTGGTGGTGATGATGATGGTGGTCATGGTGGTCATGGATGTAGTGATGATGATGGTGGTGGTGGTTGTGATGATGGTGGTGGTGGTGATGATGATGATGGCGATGATAGTGATGGTGATGATGATGGTGGTCATGGTGGTCATGGATGTAGTGGTGATGATAACCATGGTTGTGATGATGATGGTGGTGGTTGTGATGATGATGGTGGTGGTTGTGATGATTATGATGGTGGTGGTGGTGATGATGATGATTATGATGGTGGTGGTGATGATGATGGTGGTGGTGATGATGATGGTGGTGGTGATGGTGGCGGTGGTCGTGGTGATGATTATGATGGTGGTGGTGGTCGTGGTGATGATTATGATGGTGGTGGTGGTGATGATGATGATGATGGTGGTGATGATGATGGTGGTGGTGATAATGATGATGGTGGTGGTGATGATGGTGGTCATGGTTGTAGTGGTGATGATGGTGGTGGTTGTGATGATGGTGGTTGTGATGATGATGGTGGTGGTGGTTGTGATGATGATTATGATGGTGGTTGTGATGATGATGATTATGATGGTGGTGGTGATGATGATGATGGTGGTGGTGATGATGATGGTGGTGATGATGATGGTGATGATGGCGGTGGTCGTGGTGATGATTATGATGGTGGTGGTGGTCGTGGTGATGATTATGATGGTGGTGATAATGACGGTGGTGGTGGTGATGACGATGATGATGATGATGGTGCTTGTAGTCGTGATTACGATGGTGGCTGTAATGGTAGTGTCGGTTGTAGTGATGATGATGATGATGGTGGTGGTTGTTGCAGTGACGGTGGTGGTAATCCTGATGATGAGTGGTGATGGCGAGATGGTGATTGAGTGGTGGGCGGTGGTGGCGATGATGTTGCGTGCTCACCTGGCCGGCGATGACGACTGGTGAGCGAGTGGTGAGCGGCGTGGCGTGCTCACCTGGTCGGTGATGGTGAGCGGTGAGGAATAGCCAATGGCACAGCCGTGAGCTAGGCAGGAGAGCTCTGCGCCCAGCTCCAGGACATGAGCCAAAGGCAGGTAGCCGATGTAGAGGTCACTGGGCCTGCACGCAACACAGACAAAGGTCCCCCGTGTAGCCTCAACAGACTGTAGGGGCAAGTGGCTGTGAGTGGCGAGCAGCAGCTATAGACACAGACAAAGGTCCCCCGTGTAGTCTCTAACAGGGCTGTAGGGGCAAGTGCTGTGAGTAGCACCTATAGACACACAGACAAAGGCCCCCCGTGTAGCCTCTAACAGACTGTAGGGGCAAGTGCTGTTAGCGAGCAGCAGCTGTGAAGGCTACCGGCACTGTGGCACACGAGGGGGTGGGTGGGCAGCACCACGCCCGGCCGCCTTTGTCTCCCCAGTGGCGATGTTTACACACCGCTACACCAGGTACTCATTTGAGGCTGAGTCGACCTAGGGGAGGCCCAGGACCGGTTCAGATAATCGTCGCCGGTGGTGGCCGTGAGCCGGGTTCATAGCGCAGCGTAGCGCTAACCGCTGCACCACCGCTCCCCTCATCCACCCACATCTACCCACTCACCCAGAAACACCCACCCTCTCTCAGACCCACCCACCCTCTCACCCACCCACCCACCCTCTCTCCAACCCACCCACCCTCCCTCTGATCCACCCACCCTCCCACCGACCCACCCACCCACCCACCCTCTCTCCGACCCACCCACCCTCTCACCCACCCACCCACCCTCTCTCAGACCCACCCACCCTCTCACCCACCCACCCACCCACCCTCCCTCCGACCCACCCACCCTCTCTCCAACCCACCCACCCTCTCACCCACCCACCCACCCACCCTCCCTCCGACCCACCCACTCTCTCTCAGACCCACCCACCCGCTCTCCTACCAACCCATCCTCCCTCTGACCCACCCACCCTCCCTCCGACCCACCCACCCTCTCTCCTACCCACCCACCCTCTCTCCTACCCACCCACCCTCCCTAGGACCCACCCACCCTCTCTCCTACCCACCCACCCTCCCTCCGACCCACCCAACCTCCCTCCGACCCACCCACCCCCCCCACCGACCCACCCACCCTCCCTCCCACCGACCCACCCACCCTCTCTCCGATCCACCCAAACCCCCATCCACCCACACCACCACCCACCTACACCCCCACCCACCCACACCACCACTTACCCACACCCCCACCCACCCACCCACACCACTACACCCCCTTACCCACCCGAGCCCAGGAATGCGTTGGCACTGGCCGGCCATGGCGCTGATGAGGTTGGCGTGTGTCATCATCACGCCCTTGGGCAGCCCCGTGGAGCCGCTGGTGTACATCACCACGGCCAGGTCACCCGCTTGTGCCTCCTGCACCGCCACCGACACTGGTGGGGGGGCACGGGTGGGGGGGGGGGGGCACGGGTGGGGGGGGGCACGGGTTGGAGGAGAGGGGGTAGGGCGATGGCTTCGAGCGGTCGAGCCTAAACAGGTTGAGCGGGCGGGTGGGCGAGCGAGTGAATAGGTGAGTGGGCGAGCGAGTGAATGGATGGGTGAGCGAGTGGGTGAGCGAGTGAGTAGGTGGGTGAGTGAGTGAATAGGTGAGTGGGCGAGCGAGTAAGTGGATGGGTGAGCGAGTGAGCGAGTGAGTCGGTGGGTGGGTGAGTGAGTGAATAGGTGAGTGGGCGAGCGAGTGAGTGAGTGGGTGGGTGGGTGAGTGTGCGAGTGAGTGGGTGAGTGTGCGAGTGGGTGAGTGGGTGAGTGTGCGAGTGAGTGGGTGAGTGTGCGAGTGGGTGGGTGAGTGGGTGAGTGAATAGGTGACTGAGCGAGTGAGTGGGTGGTTGAGTGGGTGAGTGGGCGAGTGAGCGGGTGGGTGGTTGACTGAGTGAGCGAGTGAGTTGGTGTGTAAGCGAGTGACTGGGTGGGTGGGTGAGTGGGTATGCGAGTGTGCGACTGAGTGGGTGAGTGTGCGAGTGTGCAAGTGAGCGGGTGAGTGTGCGAGTGAGTGACTGGGTGAGTATGCGAGTGAGTGGGTGGGTGAGTAGGTGAGTGAGTAGGTGAGTGAGTAGGTGAGTGCGTAGGTGAGTAAGTAGGTGAGTAAGTAGGTGAGTGAGTAGGTGAGTGAGTAGGTGAGTGAGTAGATGAGTAGGTGAGTGAGTAGGTGAGTGAGTAGGTGAGTAGGTGAGTGAGTAGGTGAGTGTGTGGGTGAGTAGGTGAGTGAGTAGGTGAGTAGGTGAGTGAGTAGGTGAGTGAGTAGGTGAGTGTGTGGGTGAGTAGGTTAGTGAGTAGGTGAGTAGGTGAGTGAGTAGGTGGGTGAGTAGGTGAGTGAGTAGGTGAGTGAGTAGGTGAGTGAGTAGGTGAGTAGGTGAGTGAGTAGGTGAGTAGGTGAGTGAGTAGGTGAGTAGGTGAGTGAGTAGGTGAGTAGGTGAGTGTGTGAGTGAGTAGGTGAGTGAGTAGGTGAGTGTGTGGGTGAGTAGGTGAGTGAGTAGGTGAGTGTGTGGGTGAGTAGGTGAGTGAGTAGGTGAGTGAGTAGGTGAGTGAGTAGGTGAGTGAGTAGGTGAGTAGGTGAGTAGGTGAGTGAGTAGGTGAGTAGGTGAGTGAGTAGGTGAGTAGGTGAGTGTGTGGGTGAGTAGGTGAGTGAGTAGATGAGTAGGTGAGTGAGTAGGTGAGTGAGTAGGTGAGTGAGTAGGTGAGTAGGTGAGTGAGTAGGTGAGTTGAGTAGGTGAGTGAGTAGGTGAGTGAGTAGGTGAGTAGGTGAGTGAGTAGGTGAGTGAGTAGGTGAGTGAGTAGGTGAGTAGGTGAGTGTGTGGGTGAGTAGGTGAGTAGGTGAGTGAGTAGGTGAGTAGGTGAGTGAGTAGGTGAGTGAGTAGGTGAGTGAGTAGGTGAGTAGGTGAGTGAGTAGGTGAGTAGGTGAGTGAGTAGGTGAGTGTGTGTGTGAGTAGGTGAGTAGGTGAGTGAGTAGGTGAGTGTGTGGGTGAGTAGGTGAGTGTGTGGGTGAGTGTGTGGGTGAGTAGGTGAGTGTGTGGGTGAGTAGGTGAGTGAGTAGGTGAGTAGGTGAGTGAGTAGGTGAGTGAGTAGGTGAGTGAGTAGGTGAGTGAGTAGGTGAGTAGGTGAGTGAGTAGGTGAGTGAGTAGGTGAGTGAGTAGGTGAGGGGTGAGTAGGTGAGTGAGTAGGTGAGTAGGTGAGTGTGTGGGTGAGTGTGTGGGTGAGTAGGTGAGTGAGTAGGTGAGTGAGTAGGTGAGTGTATAGGTGAGTGTGTGGGTGAGTAGGTGAGTGAGTAGGTGAGTGAGTAGGTGAGTAGGTGAGTGAGTAGGTGAGTAGGTGAGTGTGTGGGTGAGTAGGTGAGTGAGTAGGTGAGTAGGTGAGTAGGTGAGTGAGTAGGTGAGTAGGTGAGTGTGTGGGTGAGTAGGTGAGTGAGTAGGTGAGTGAGTAGGTGAGTGAGTAGGTGAGTAGGTGAGTGAGTAGGTGAGTGAGTAGGTGAGTGAGTAGGTGAGTAGGTGAGTGAGTAGGTGAGTAGGTGAGTGAGTAGGTGAGTGTGTGGGTGAGTAGGTGAGTGAGTAGGTGAGTGTGTGGGTGAGTAGGTGAGTGTGTGGGTGAGTAGGTGAGTGTGTGGGTGAGTAGATGAGTGTGTGGGTGAGTAGGTGAGTGAGTAGGTGAGTGAGTAGGTGAGTAGGTGAGTGAGTAGGTGAGTGAGTAGGTGAGTAGGTGAGTGAGTAGGTGAGTGAGTAGGTGAGGGGTGAGTAGGTGAGTAGGTGAGTGAGTAGGTGAGTGTGTAGGTGAGTGTGTGGGTGAGTAGGTGAGTGAGTAGGTGAGTGAGTAGGTGAGTGAGTAAGTGAGTAGGTGAGTGTGTGGGTGAGTAGGTGAGTGAGTAGGTGAGTAGGTGAGTAGGTGAGTGAGTAGGTGAGTAGGTGAGTGTGTGGGTGAGTAGGTGAGTGAGTAGGTGAGTGAGTAGGTGAGTGAGTAGGTGAGTAGGTGAGTGAGTAGGTGAGTGAGTAGGTGAGTAGGTGAGTGAGTAGGTGAGTGAGTAGGTGAGTGAGTAGGTGAGTGAGTAGGTGAGTGAGTAGGTGAGTGAGTAGGTGAGTGAGTAGGTGAGTGAGTAGGTGAGTAGGTGAGTGAGTAGGTGAGTGAGTAGGTGAGCAGGTGAGTGAGTAGGTGAGTGAGTAGGTGAGTGAGTAGGTGAGTAGGTGAGTGAGTAGGTGAGTGAGTAGGTGAGTAGGTGAGTGTGCGAGTGAGTAGGTGAGTGAGTAGGTGAGTGGTGTAGGTGAGTGAGTAGGTGAGTGAGTAGGTGAGTAGGTGAGTGAGTGTGTGGGTGAGTAGATGGGTGAGTAGGTGAGTGAGTAGGTGAGTGAGTAGGTGAGGGGTGAGTAGGTGAGTAGGTGAGTGGGTGAGTAGGTGAGTAGGTGGGTGAGTAGGTGAGTGAGTAGGTGAGTTAGTAGGTGAGTAGGTGAGTGTGTAGGTGAGTGGTGTGTGTGTCCCTCACTGTTCTGTGGCTCTGCCCCCAGCTGCTGCACCTCGGCCATGCTGTGCACCGCAATGCATTGTGGGAAGGCCACCCCCTCTGCGTCCAGGGGGTCCACGTGGATGATGTGACGTAGGGTTGGCACGTGGTCAAGTATGGACTGTGTAGGGCAGCATCACACCGCTCATCATCACACCGCTCATCATCACACCGCTCATCATCACACCGCTCATCATCACACCGCTCATCATCACACCTCATCATCACACCGCTCATCATCACACCGCTCATCATCACACCGCTCATCATCACACCGCTCATCATCACACCGCTCATCATCACAACGCTCATCATCACACCGCTCATCATCACACCGCTCATCATCACACCCCTCATCATCACACCGCTCATCATCACACCGCTCATCATCACACCGCTCATCATCACACCGCTCATCATCACACCGCTCATCATCACACCGCTCATCATCACACCGCTCATCATCACACCGCTCATCATCACACCGCTCATCATCACACCGCTCATCATCACACCGCTCATCATCACACCGCTCATCATCACACCGCTCATCATCACACCGCTCATCATCACACCCTCATCATCACATCGCTCATCATCACACCGCTCATCATCACACCGCTCATCATCACACCGCTCATCATCACACCGCTCATCATCACACCGCTCATCATCACACCGCTCATCATCACACCGCTCATCATCACACCGCTCATCATCACACCGCTCATCATCACACCGCTCATCATCACACCGCTCATCATCACACCGCTCATCATCACACCGCTCATCATCACACCGCTCATCATCACACCGCTCATCATCACACCGCTCATCATCACACCGCTCATCATCACACCGCTCATCATCACACCGCTCATCATCACACCGCTCATCATCACACCGCTCATCATCACACCGCTCATCATCACACCGCTCATCATCACACCGCTCATCATCACACCGCTCATCATCACACCGCTCATCATCACACCGCTCATCATCACACCGCTCATCATCACACCGCTCATCATCACACCGCTCATCATCACACCTCTCATCATCACATCGCTCATCATCACACCGCTCATCATCCCACCGCTCATCATCACACCGCTCATCATCACACCGCTCATCATCACACTGCTCATCATCACACCGCTCATCATCACACCGCTCATCATCACACCGCTCATCATCACACCGCTCATCATCACACCTCTCATCATCACATCGCTCATCATCACACCGCTCATCATCACACCGCTCATCATCACACCGCTCATCATCACACCGCTCATCATCACACCGCTCATCATCACACCGCTCATCATCACACCCCTCATCACACTACTCATCATCACACCTCTCATCATCACACCGCTCATCACACCGCTCATCATCACACCGCTCATCACACCGCTCATCATCACACCGCTCATCATCACACCGCTCATCATCACACCGCTCATCATCACACCGCTCATCATCACACCTCTCATCATCACATCATCATCACATCGCTCATCATCACACCTCTCATCACACCTCTCATCACACCCCTCATCATCACACCCCTCATCATCACACCTCTCATCACACCTCATCATCACATCGCTTATCGTCACACCTCTCATCACACCTCATCATCACATCGCTTATCGTCACACCTCATCATCACATCGCTCATCACACCTCTCATCATCACACCGCTCATCATCACACCTCTCATCATCACACCTCATCATCACACCGCTCATCATCACACCCCTCATCATCACAACGCTCATCATCACACCGCTCATCATCACATGACTCATCATCACACCGCTCATCATCACACCGCTCATCATCACACCGCTCATCATCACACCGCTCATCATCACACCGCTCATCATCACACCGCTCATCATCACACCTCATCATCGCACCTCATCATCACACCCCTCATCATCACACCCCTCATCATCACACCTCTCATCACACCTCATCATCACACCCCTCATCATCACACCCCTCATCATCACACACCTCATCATCACACCCCTCATCATCACACCTCTTATCCCTCCCCAATCATCCCTCACTCCCCATCCATCCTCACAGCAGCGGTTTGTTGGCTAAGCCGTCGAGCAAATACGGTGATGGTCACTGCATCATTATCTGCATCATCATCATCATCTGCATCATCATCATCATGATCGTCATCATCGCTGCCGTTATCATCGTTACGCAGCGCTTTCAGACGCGCTGCTTCCGCGGCCGTCTGGAACGCTCTCTTCCTGCCAATATGAGGAAGCCACTCGGATCTAAGCCACGTTTAAATCATCATCATCTAGATTGACAAACTCGTTTCTTTACAACCGCTGGTTGTGTTTAGTTTGTTGTACTTCCCTCCCCGCACCTCCGATTAGCGCGGTTGGGTACGCACGGTGTGAAAGAAGTTCAACACACACACAGGTGGAACGTCAACCACCACCACCGCATTGACATTACCACCAGCGCATCACCACCAACACCACCACCACCCTGACACCGCCACCACCACCCTGACACCACCACCACCCTGACACCACTCCCACACTGACACCACCACCACACTGACACCACTCCCACACTGACACCGCCACCACTCCCACACTGACACCACTCCCACACTGACACCACTCCCACACTGACACCACCACACTGACACCACTCCCACACTGACACCACCACCACACTGACACCACCACCACACTGACACCACCACCACACTGACACCACTCCCACACTGACACCACCACCACACTGACACCACCACCACACTGACACCACTCCCACACTGACACCACTCCCACACTGACACCACCACCACTACCACACTGACACCACCACCACCACCACACTGACACCACTCCCACACTGACACCACCACCACTCCCACACTGACACCACCACCACTCCCACACTGACACCACCACCATAACCCTGGTACCACCACACCGACACCACCACCCTGACACCACCAGCGCACTGACACCACCATCCTGACACCACCACCACACTGACACCACCACCACCACACTGACACCACCATCCTGACACCACCACCACACTGACACCACCACCACCACACTGACACCACCACCACCACCACACTGACACCACCACACTGACACCACCACAATTACACCACCACCACAATTACACCACCACCACCACACTGACACCACCACCACCACCACACTGACACCACCACACTGACACCACCACCACCACCACACTGACACCACCACCACCACCACACTGACACCACCACCACCACCACCACACTGACACCACCACCACACTGACACCACCACCACCACCACCACACTGACACCACCACCACCACACTGACACCACCACCACCACTACCACCACACCTTGAGTTTGGAGTGCAGGAGCTCGCTGCTGGTGATGAGGTGAGTCACGGCGGACTCCCGCAGGCCGTGGGCCACTGCGTCGGCGCCCAGAGTCGAGTACAGCGTCACCACTACACACACAGTCACAAATACACACAGTCACCACTACACACACAGTCACAAATACACACACACACACACAGTCACCATGACACACACACACACAGTCACAATGACACACACACACAGTCACCACTACACAAACACAGTCACCACTACACACACACAGTCACACAGTCACCACTACACACACAGTCACAATGACACACACAGTCACACAGTCACCACTACACACACACACACAGTCACAATTACACACACAGTCACACAGTCACCACTACACACACAGTCACAAATACACACACACACAGTCACAATGACACACACACAGTCACACACAGTCACCACTACACACACAGTCACAATTACACACACACAGTCACCACTACACACACAGTCACAATGACACACACACACAGTCACCACTACACACACAGTCACAATTACACACACAGTCACACAGTCACCACTACACACACAGTCACAATGACACACACACACACAGTCACCACTACACACACACACAGTCACCACTACACACACACAGTCACAATGACACACACACAGTCACAATGACACACACACACAGTCACCACTACACACACACACAGTCACCACTACACACACACAGTCACAATGACACACACACACAGTCACCACTACACACACACACAGTCACCACTACACACACAGTCACAAATACACACACACAGTCACAATTACACACACACAGTCACCACTACACACACAGTCACAAATACACACACACACACAGTCACCACTACACACACAGTCACAATGACACACACACACACACACAGTCACCACTACACACACACAGTCACCACTACACACACAGTCACAATGACACACACAGTCACCATTACACACACACAGTCACCACTACACACACAGTCACAATTACACACACACACACACAGTCACCACTACACACACAGTCACCACTACACACACAGTCACCATTACACACACACAGTCACCACTACACACACAGTCACAATTACACACACACACAGTCACCACTACACACACAGTTACCACTACACACACAGTCACCATTACACACACACAGTCACCACTACACACACAGTCACCATTACACACACACAGTCACCACTACACACACAGTCACAATTACACACACACACAGTCACCACTACACACACAGTCACCACTACACACACAGTCACAATTACACACATACACAGTCACCACTACACACACAGTCACCACTACACACACACAGTCACAATGACACACACACAGTCACAATTACACACACACAGTCACCACTACACACACAGTCACAATAACACACACACACAGTCACCACTACACACACAGTCACCACTACACACACACACACAGTCACAATGACACACACACACAGTCACCACTACACACACAGTCACAATGACACACACACACAGTCACCACTACACACACAGTCACAATGACACACACACACAGTCACCACTACACACACAGTCACAATGACACACACACACACACAGTCACCACTACACACACAGTCACAATGACACACACACACAGTCACCACTACACACACACACAGTCACCACTACACACACAGTCACAATGACACACACACAGTCACCACTACACACACACACACACAGTCACCACTACACACACAGTCACAATGACACACACACAGTCACCACTACACACACACACAGTCACCACTACACACACAGTCACAATGACACACACACAGTCACCACTACACACACACAGTCACCACTACACACACAGTCACAATGACACACACACAGTCACCACTACACACACACACAGTCACCACTACACACACAGTCACAATGACACACACACAGTCACCACTACACACACACACAGTCACCACTACACACACACAGTCACCACTACACACACACACAGTCACCACTACACACACAGTCACAATTACACACACACAGTCACAACTACACACACACAGTCACCACTACACACACAGTCACAATTACACACACACACACAGTCACCACTACACACACACAGTCACAATGACACACACACACAGTCACCACTACACACACAGTCACAATTACACACACAGTCACACAGTCACCACTACACACACACACACAGTCACCATTACACACACACAGTCACCATTACACACACAGTCACCATTACACACACACAGTCACCATTACACACACAGTCACCATTACACACACAGTCACAATTACAAACACACACACAGTCACCACTACACACACACAGTCACCACTACACACACACAGTCACAATTACACACACACACAGTCACAAATACACACACACACAGTCACAAATACACACACACACAGTCACCACTACACACACACACAGTCACAATTACACACACACAGTCACCATTACACACACACACAGTCACCACTACACACACACACAGTCGCCACTACACACACACAGTCACCACTACACACACACACACAGTCACCACTACACACACACAGTCACCATTACACACACACAGTCACCACTACACACACACACAGTCACCACTACACACACACACAGTCACAATTACACACACACACAGTCACAATTACACACACACACACAGTCACAATTACACACACACACAGTCACCACTACACACACAGTCACAATTACACACACACACAGTCACCACTACACACACAGTCACAATTACACACACACACTCACCACTACACACACGGTCACAATTACACACACACACAGTCACAACTACACACACACACACAGTCACCACTACACACACACAGTCACCACTACACACACACACAGTCACCACTACACACACAGTCACAATTACACACACAGTCACCACTACACACACACAGTCACAATTACACACACACACAGTCACCACTACACACACACAGTCACAATTACACACACACAGTCACCACTACACACACACAGTCACAATTACACACACACACACAGTCACAATTACACACACACACAGTCACAATTACACACACACACACAGTCACAATTACACACACACACACACACAGTCACCACTACACACACACAGTCACAATTACACACACACAGTCACCACTACACACACACAGTCACAATTACACACACACACAGTCACCACTACACACACAGTCACAATTACACACACACACAGTCACCACTACACACACACACAGTCACAATTACACACACAGTCACAATTACACACACACACACAGTCACAACTACACACACACAGTCACCACTACACACACAGTCACAATTACACACACACACAGTCACAACTACACACACAGTCACCATTACACACACAGTCACAATTACACACACACAGTCACCACTACACACACAGTCACAATTACACACACACAGTCACCACTACACACACAGTCACAATTACACACACACACACACACAGTCACAATTACACACACAGTCACCATTACACACACAGTCACAATTACACACACACAGTCACCACTACACACACAGTCACAATTACACACACAGTCACCACTACACACACACACAGTCACCACTACACACACAGTCACAATTACACACACAGTCACCATTACACACACAGTCACCATTACACACACACACACAGTCACCACTACACACACAGTCACAATTACACACACAGTCACCACTACACACACACAGTCACCACTACACACACACAGTCACCACTACACACACACACAGTCACAACTACACACACACAGTCACCACTACACACACACAGTCACCACTACACACACACAGTCACAATTACACACACACAGTCACCACTACACACACAGTCACAATTACACACACAGTCACCACTACACACACACAGTCACAATTACACACACACACAGTCACCACTACACACACAGTCACAATTACACACACACACAGTCACCACTACACACACACACAGTCACCACTACACACACACACAGTCACCATTACACACACACACACAGTCACCACTACACACACACAGTCACCACTACACACACACACAGTCACCACTACACACACACAGTCACAATTACACACACAGTCACAATTACACACAGTCACCACTACACACACACACAGTCACCACTACACACACACACAGTCACCACTACACACAGTCACAATTACACACACACACACACAGTCACCACTACACACAGTCACCACTACACACACACACAGTCACCACTACACACACACACAGTCACAATTACACACACACACAGTCACAACTACACACACACAGTCACCACTACACACACAGTCACAATTACACACACACACAGTCACCACTACACACACAGTCACAATTACACACACACACAGTCACCACTACACACACAGTCACAATTACACACACACAGTCACAATTACACACACACACAGTCACAACTACACACACAGTCACCACTACACACACAGTCACACAGTCACCATTACACACACACACACAGTCACCACTACACACACACAGTCACCACTACACACACACAGTCACAATTACACACACACACAGTCACCATTACACACACACACACAGTCACCACTACACACACACAGTCACCACTACACACACACAGTCACCATTACACACACAGTCACCATTACACACACACACAGTCACCATTACACACACACAGTCACCACTACACACACACAGTCACAATTACACACACACACACAGTCACCACTACACACACACAGTCACAATTACACACACACACACAGTCACCACTACACACACAGTCACAATTACACACACACACACACAGTCACCATTACACACACACACACAACAACAACCGCCATTCACCACTAAGTGGCGGTGACGTCACCACGACGCTTGTGCCAGGCTATGTCCACCTTGAGGCCACGTGAAGTGTCGAACGTCCGCTGTCAGGTCACGGGGCAGACCCAAGTGCCACGGGTCGACTGACTGAGATGACTGAGATGACTGGCTGATGCACCACCTGTGCCCCCTACTGTGCCAACTTGCTGTGCTTTAGCCACCCGGCGCTCCACTCGTTGTTGTGAGCGTCGCTCCTCCGCCCTCCGTTGTTGTTGGAGGGCGACTACCTCCAACTGCCCAGTAGCGTCCTTCACGAGCCTCCTCCACAGAGGCTGATCTTGACACCGCTGGTACCAGTCATCGGCAAGTCCACTCAGCTCCACGTCCTCCTGTACCACATCACTCCATCTCTTCTCTAGCCCGTGCTGCGCCCGTTTAGCCCCCTCAATCCGGCCGAACAAAAGCTGTTTCGGCATGCGGTGGTTGGGCATGCGGGCTACATCACCCAGCCAGCGCAGCCTTGCCTGCCGGAGGAGCTCACCGATGGGACCTTGCCCAGATCTTTCAAGGATTTGTGAGCTCCTCACACAATCCAGTCTGGTTAAACCCAGGATGGATCGTAGGCAGGCCAAGCTAAATGTTTCTAACCGGCGAAGATGTTTCCTCAGGGGGGGCCTACGTTTCGCAAGAGTAGAGAAGGGAGGGAATGACCGTGGCCGAGAAGACCTGAAGCTTAGTGCGGAGCGACAGACCAGGTAGCTTCCACACAGCGTTACGCAACTGATGAAAAGATATTGCTGCTCGACTGATTCGGAGTGAGACCTCTGCTGTCAAACACGGGTACACACACAGTCACCACCCACACACATGGGGGTACACACACGGACACAGTCACTACTACACACACACGGGTAGACGCACACACAGAATCACCACAACTCACACAAAGATCCCCCATAAATACAAACCAGACTGTAGGGGCAAGTGCTGTTAGCGAGCACCTATGAAGGGCGGAACAGTACACGAGGGGGTGGGTGACCAGCACCACGCCCGGCCACCTTTGTCTCCCCAGTGGCGATGTTTACTACACACCACTACACCAGGTGCTCATTTGAGGAGTCGACCTCGAGGAGGCCCAGGACCTGGATCAGATAATCGTCACTGGTGCTGGTTTTGGCCGTGAGTGGGAATTGAACTCAGGACGCTGGTTTCGTAGCGCAGCGTAGCGCTAACTGCCACACTACCGTAACACGCACAGCGTCACCAGACCACGAGCCAACTAACCGACTAGCCAGCCAGCCAACCCACAAGCCAGCCAGCCAGCCAGCCAACTAACCCACTAGCTAGCCAACTAACCCACTAGCCAGCCAACTAACCCACTAGACAGCCAGTCAACTAACCCACTAACCAGCCAGCCAACTAACCCACGAGCCAGCCAGCCAACCAACCCACTAGACAGCCAGCCAACTAACCCACTAGCCAGCCAGTCAACTAACCCACTAGCCAGCCAGTCAACTAACCCACTAGCCAGCCAGTCAACTAACCCACTAGCCAGCCAGTCAACTAACCCACTAGCCAGCCAGCCAACCAACCCACAAGCCAGCCAGCCAGCCAACTAACCCACTAGCCAGCCAGCCAACTAACCCACTAGCCAGCCAGTCAACTAACCCACTAGCCAGCCAGCCAACTAACCCACTAGCCAGCCAGCCAGCCAACCTACTAGCCAGCCAGCCAACTAACCCACTAGTCAGCCAGCCAACTAACTCACTAGCCAGCCAACGAACCCACTAGTCAGCCAGCCAACCAACCCACTAGCCAGCCAACCAACCAACTAACCCACTAGCCAGCCATTCAACTAACCCACTAGCCAGCCAACTAATCCACTAGCCAGCCAGTCAACCAACCCACTAGCCAGCCAGCCAGTCAACTAACCCACTAGCCAGCCAGCCAACTAACCCACTAGCCAGCCAACGAACCCACTAGCCAGCCAACCAACCAACTAACCCACTAGCCATTCAACTAACCCACTAGCCAGCCAGCCAACTAACCCACTAGCCAGCCAGCCAACTAACCCACTAGCCAGCCAGTCAACTGGTGCACTATCCGGCCAGCCAACTAACCCACTAGCCAGCCAGCCAGCCAACTAACCCACTAGCCAGCCAGTCAACTAACCCACTAGCCAGCCAACTAACCCACTAGCCAGCCAGTCAACTAACCCACTAGCCAGCCAGTCAACTAACCCACTAGCCAGCCAGCCAACTAACCCACTAGCCAGCCAGTCAACTAACCCACTAGCCAGCCAACTAACCCACTAGCCAGCCAGCCAACTAACCCACTAGCCAGTCAACTAACCCACTAGCCAGCCAGCCAACTAACCCACTAGCCAGCCAACTAACCCACTAGCCAGCCAGCCAACCAACCCACTAGCCAGCCAGTCAACTGGTGCACTATCCGGCCAGCCAACTAACCCACTAGCCAGCCAGCCAGCCAACTAACCCACTAGCCAGCCAGCCAACTAACCCACTAGCCAGCCAGCCAACTAACCCACTAGCCAGCCAGTCAACTAACCCACTAGCCAGCCAACTAACCCACTAGCCAGCCAGCCAACTAACCCACTAGCCAGCCAGCCAACTAACCCACTAGCCAGCCAACTAACCCACTAGCCAGCCAGCCAACCAACCCACTAGCCAGCCAACCAGCCAACCAACCCACTAGCCAGCCAACCAGCCAACTAACCCACTAGCCAGCCAGCCAGTCAACTAACCCACTAGCCAGCCAACTAACCCACTAACCAGCCAGCCAACTAACCCACTAGCCAGCCAACTAACCCACTAGCCAGCCAGCCAGCCAACCCACTAGTCAGCCAGCCAACTAACTCACTAGCCAGACAACTAACCCACTAGCCAGCCAGTCAACTAACCCACTAGCCAGCCAGTCAACTAACCCACTAGCCAGACAACTAACCCACTATCCGGCCAGCCAGCCAACCCACTAGCCAGCCAGCCAACTAACTCACTAGCCAGCCAACGAACCCACTAGCCAGCCAGCCAACCAACCCACTAGCCAGCCAACTAACCCACTAGCCAGCCAGTCATCTGGTGCACTATCCGGCCAGCCCGCTAGCCCACCCGCTAGACTGCCTGCCAGCCCGCCAGCTGTCCGGGGCTGCCACAGCCCCGCCCATAATCCCGCGGCGTCCTGGTGGTGTTAGCGAGAGCCTATTAACCCATTACAGGCGGCGTCACTGACGTCCACAACACAATCCCAGCGTCACCTCCACCCCCATCGCACCACCCCCCCTCCCCCGTGTCCTCAAACTCGTGACCACCCTCACCGCTCACCCCACTGCCCCCACCCCTGCCGCTCACCCCTCCCCCTCCTGCTCACCACTCACCCCTCACCGCTCACCGCTCACCCCTCCCCCTTGCTCACCGCTCACCCCTCTCCCTCCTGCTCACCGCTCAACCCACTGCCCCCACCCCCTTGCTCACCGCTCACCCCTCCCCCTTGCTCACCCCTCCCCCTTGCTCACCGCTCACCTCTCCCTCACCGCTCACCGCTCATCCCTCCCCCTTGCTCACCGCTCACCCCTCCTCCTTGCTCACCGCTCACCCCTCTCCCTCCTGCTCACCGCTCACCCCTCTCCCTCCTGCTCACCGCTCACCCCTCTCCCTCCTGCTCACCACTCATCCCTCTCCCCCGCTCACCGCTCACCCCTCCCTCTTTCTCACCGCTCACCCCTCCCTCCTGCTCACCACTCATCCCTCTCCCCCACTCACCGCTCACCCCTCCCTCCTGCTCACCGCTCACCCCTCCCTCTTGCTCACCCCTCCCCCTTGCTCACCGCTCACCGCTCATCCCTCTCCCTCACCCCTCCCTCCTGCTCACCACTCATCATGGACTCCTACCTATCCCCCGTGTCATCAATCTCGTGACCACCCCTCCCTCTCACCGCTCACCCCTCTACCCCGCTCACCCCCCCTCACCCCGCTCACCCCTCTACCCCGCTCACCCCCCCTCACCCCGCTCACCGCTCACCGGGGAAGTTGTGCTTGAAGCAGGCAAGGGCTGACACCATCCACTCGGCCCGGGTCTCACAGAAGATGGCGATGGGCTGGTGGGGCTCCTGACCAAGTGCGGTGAGGCCGCTGGCAAGCGTGCCGGCCTGCTCCTCCACCTCCCGGTACGTCCACCAGCGGTAGTCGCCCTGCACCACCTGGCGGTGGACGCGGAGGTGTCGACCATCACACTCACCCACTCTCACCGTGTCTCTCTCTCACCCACACTCACCCCCTCCTCTCTCTCTCTCTCACCCACACTCACCCTCTCTCTCTCATACTCACCCTTTCTCCCACACTCACCCTCTCTCTCCCACCCACACTCACCCTCTCTCTCTCTCACTCTCTCTCTCACACTCACCCTCTCTCTCCCACACTCACCCTCTCTCTCCCACACTCACCCTCTCCCTCACACTCACCCTCTCTCTCCCACACTCACCCTCTCTCTCTCACACTCACCCTCTCTCTCACACTCACCCTCTCTCTCCCACCCACACTCACCCTCTCTCTCTCTCCCACACTCACCCTCTCTCTCTCACACTCACCCTCTCTCTCCCACCCACACTCACCCTCTCTCTCTCTCACACTCACCTTCTCTCTCTCACACTCACCCTCTCTCACCCACTCTCACCGTGTCTCTCTCACACTCACCCCCTCCTCTCTCTCACCCACACTCACCCCCCTCTCTCACCCACACTCACCCCCCCTCTCTCACCCACACTCACCTCCTGCTCTCTCTCTCTCACACTCACCCTCTCTCTCTCTCTCCCTCACACTCACCCCATCTCTCACTCACCCTCTCTCTCTCTCACACAATCACTCACCCAATAATTCTCACATTCACCCCTCTCTCCCACCCGCACTCACCATCTCCAAATCACCTTCTCACCCATCTCCCTCTCTCCCACACTCACCCCCCCTCTCACACTCACCCCCCCTCTCTCACACTCACCCTCTCTCTCTCACACTCACCCCCTCCCTTCCACACTCACCCTCTCTCACACTCACCCTCTCTCTCCCACACTCACCCTCTCTCTCTCACACTCACCCTCTCTCTCTCACACTCACCCTCTCTCTCCCACACTCACCCTCTCTCTCTCTCACACTCACCCTCTCTCTCTCACACTCACCCTCTCTCTCTCACACTCACCCTCCCACACTCACCCTCTCTCTCCCACACTCACCCTCTCTCTCTCACACTCACCCTCTCTCTCCCACACTCACCCCTCACCCTCTCTCTCTCACACTCACCCTCTCTCCCTCACACTCACCCCCTCTCTCTCACACTCACCCTCTCTCTCCCACACTCACCCTCTCTCTCACACTCACCCTCTCTCTCTCACACTCACCCTCTCTGTCCCACACTCACCCCCTCTCCCTCTCTCCCACACTCACCCTCTCTCTCACACTCACCCTCTCTCTCTCAGACTCACTCCTCTCTCTCACACTCACTCCTCTCTATCACACTCACTCCTCTCTCTCACACTCACCCTCTCTCTCCCACACTCACCCTCTCTCTCTCACACTCACCCTCTCTCTCCCACACTCACCCTCTCTCTCTCACACTCACCCCTCTCTCTCCCACACTCACCCTCTCTCACACTCACCCTCTCTCTCTCACACTCACCCTCTCTCTCTCACACTCACCCTCTCTCTCTCTCACACTCACCCTCTCTCTCCCACACTCACCCCTCTCTCTCTCACACTCACCCCTCTCTCTCCCACACTCACCCTCTCTCACACTCACCCTCTCTCTCTCTCACACTCACCCTCTCTCTCTCACACTCACCCTCTCTCTCCCACACTCACCCTCTCTCTCTCTCTCACACTCACCCTCTCTCTCACACTCACCCTCTCTCTCTCACACTCACCCTCCCACACTCACCCTCTCTCTCCCACACTCACCCTCTCTCTCTCACACTCACCCTCTCTCTCCCACACTCACCCCTCACCCTCTCTCTCTCACACTCACCCTCTCTCCCTCACACTCACCCCCTCTCTCTCACACTCACCCTCTCTCTCCCACACTCACCCTCTCTCTCACACTCACCCTCTCTCTCTCACACTCACCCTCTCTCTCTCACACTCACCCTCTCTCTCCCACACTCACCCCTCACCCTCTCTCTCTCACACTCACCCTCCCACACTCACCCTCTCTCTCCCACACTCACCCCTCACCCTCTCTCTCTCACACTCACCCTCTCTCCCTCACACTCACCCCCTCTCTCTCACACTCACCCTCTCTCTCCCACACTCACCCTCTCTCTCACACTCACCCTCTCTCTCTCACACTCACCCTCTCTGTCCACACTCACCCCCTCTCCCTCTCTCCCACACTCACCCTCTCTCTCACACTCACCCTCTCTCTCTCAGACTCACTCCTCTCTCTCACACTCACTCCTCTCTCTCACACTCACTCCTCTCTCTCACACTCACCCTCTCTCTCTCTCACACTCACCCTCTCTCTCCCACACTCACCCCTCTCTCTCTCACACTCACCCCTCTCTCTCCCACACTCACCCTCTCTCTCTCACACTCACCCTCTCTCTCTCTCACACTCACCCTCTCTCACACTCACCCTCTCACTCTCTCTCTCACACTCACCCTCTCTCTCTCACCCTCTCTCTCTCACACTCACCCCTCTCTCTCTCACACTCACCCCTCTCTCTCTCACACTCACTCCTCTCTCTCACACTCACCCTCTCTCTCTCTCACACTCACCCTCTCTCTCTCTCACACTCACCCTCTCTCTCCCACACTCACCCTCTCTCTCTCAGACTCACTCCTCTCTCTCACACTCACTCCTCTCTCTCACACTCACTCCTCTCTCTCACACTCACCCTCTCTCTCTCTCACACTCACCCTCTCTCTCTCTCACACTCACTCCTCTCTCTCACACTCACCCTCTCTCTCTCTCACACTCACCCTCTCTCTCCCACACTCACCCCTCTCTCTCTCACACTCACCCTCTCTCTCACACTCACCCTCTCTCTCCCACACTCACCCCTCTCTCTCCCACACTCACCCTCTCTCTCTCACACTCACCCTCTCTCTCCCACACTCACCCCTCTCTCTCCCACACTCACCCTCTCTCTCTCACACTCACCCTCTCTCTCTCACACTCACCCTCTCTCTCTCCCACACTTACCCTTTCTCCCACACTCACCCTCTCTCACTCACCCCCTTCTCTCTCACACTCACCCTCTCTCTCCCACACACACCCTCTCTCTCTCTCACACTCACTCCTCTCTCTCTCACCCTCTCTCTCCCACACTCACCCTCTCTCTCTCACACTCACCCTCTCTCTCTCTCACACTCACCCTCTCTCTCTCACACTCACCCTCTCTCTCTCACACTCACCCTCTCTCTCTCCCACACTCACCCCTCTCTCTCTCACACTCACCCTCTCTCTCTCACACTCACCCTCTCTCCCTCACACTCACCCCCTCTCTCTCACACTCACCCTCTCTCTCCCACACTCACCCTCTCTCTCCCACACTCACCCTCTCTCTCACACTCACCCTCTCTGTCCCACACTCACCCCCTCTCCCTCTCTCCCACACTCACCCTCTCTCTCACACTCACCCTCTCTCTCTCAGACTCACTCCTCTCTCTCACACTCACTCCTCTCTCTCTCACCCTCTCTCTCTCACACTCACCCTCTCTCTCTCTCACACTCACCCTCTCTCTCTCTCACACTCACCCTCTCTCTCCCACACTCACCCCTCTCTCTCTCACACTCACCCCTCTCTCTCCCACACTCACCCTCTCCCTCTCACACTCACCCTCTCTCTCCCACACTCACCCCTCTCTCTCACACACTCACCCTCTCTCTCTCACTCTCTCACACTCACCCTCTCTCTCCCACACTCACCCCTCTCTCTCCCACACTCACCCTCTCTCTCTCACACTCACCCTCTCTCTCCCACACTCACCCCTCTCTCTCCCACACTCACCCTCTCTCTCCCACACTCACCCCTCTCTCTCCCACACTCACCCTCTCTCTCTCACACTCACCCTCTCTCTCCCACACTTACCCTTTCTCCCACACTCACCCTCTCTCACTCACCCCCTTCTCTCTCACACTCACCCTCTCTCTCCCACACTCACCCCTCTCTCTCTCTCTCACACTCACTCCTCTCTCTCTCACCCTCTCTCTCCCACACTCACCCTCTCTCTCCCACACTCACCCTCTCTCTCTCACACTCACCCTCTCTCTCTCACACCCTCTCTCTCACACTCACCCTCTCTCTCTCACACTCACCCCTCTCTCTCCCACACTCACCCTCTCTCTCTCCCACACTCACCCCTTCTCTCTCACACTCACCCTCTCTCTCTCACACTCACCCTCTCTCTCTCACACTCACCCTCTCTCTCCCACACTCACCCCTTCTCTCTCACACTCACCCTCTCTCTCTCACACTCACCCTCTCTTTCTCACACACACCCCACTCTCTCCCACACTCACCCTCTCTCTCTCCCACACTCACCCACTCTCTCTCACACTCACCCTCTCTCTCCCACACTCACCCCTTCTCTCTCACACTCACCCTCTCTCTCTCACACTCACCCTCTCTCTCTCTCACACTCACCCTCTCTCTCCCACACTCACCCTCTCTCTCTCACACTCACCCCTCTCTCTCTCTCACACTCACCCTCTCTCTCCCACACTCACCCTCTCTCTCTCACACTCACCCTCTCTCTCTCTCACACTCACCCTCTCTCTCTCTCACACTCACCCTCTCTCTCCCACACTCACCCTCTCTCTCTCACACTCACCCTCTCTCTCTCTCTCACACTCACCCTCTCTCTCTCACACTCACCCTCTCTCTCTCTCTCTCACACTCACCCTCTCTCTCTCTCTCACACTCACCCTCTCTCTCCCACACTCACCCTCTCTCTCTCACACTCACCCTCTCTCTCACACTCACCTTCTCTCTCTCACACTCACCCTCTCTCTCTCTCTCTCACACTCACCCTCTCTCTCTCTCTCTCTCTCACACTCACCCTCTCTCTCTCTCTCTCACACTCACCCTCTCTCTCCCACACTCACCCTCTCTCTCTCACACTCACCCTCTCTCTCACACTCACCCCTCTCTCTCTCACACTCACCCCTCTCTCTCCCACACTCACCCCTCCCTCTCTCACACTCACCCTCTCTCTCACACTCACCCTCTCTCTCACACACTCACCCTCTCTCTCACACTCACACATCTCTCTCTCTCTCACTCACACTCACCCCTCTCTCTCCCACACTCACCCCTCTCTCTCTCACACTCACCCTCTCTCTCCCACACTCACCCTCTCTCCCACACTCACCCTCTCTCACTCACCCCCTTCTCTCTCACACTCACCCTCTCTCTCCCACACTCACCCTCTCTCTCTCTCTCTCACACTCACCCTCTCTCTCCCACACTCACCCCTCTCTCTCTCACACTCACCCCTCTCTCTCTCACACTCACTCCTCTCTCTCACACTCACCCTCTCTCTCTCTCTCACACTCACCCTCTCTCTCCCACACTCACCCTCTCTCTCCCACACTCACCCTCTCCCTCTCACACTCACCCTCTCTCTCCCACACTCACCCTCTCCCTCTCACACTCACCCTCTCTCTCTCACACTCACCCCTCTCTCTCCCACACTCACCCTCTCCCTCTCACACTCACCCTCTCTCTCCCACACTCACCCCTCTCTCTCACACACTCACCCTCTCTCTCTCACTCTCTCACACTCACCCTCTCTCTCCCACACTCACCCCTCTCCCTCCCACACTCACCCTCTCTCTCCCACACTCAACCCTCTCTCTCCCACACTCACCCTCTCTCTCTCACACTCACCCTCTCTCTCTCACACTCACCCTCTCTCTCTCCCACACTTACCCTTTCTCCCACACTCACCCTCTCTCACTCACCCCCTTCTCTCTCACACTCACCCTCTCTCTCCCACACTCACCCTCTCTCTCTCTCTCACACTCACTCCTCTCTCTCTCACCCTCTCTCTCCCACACTCACCCTCTCTCTCCCACACTCACCCTCTCTCTCTCACACTCACCCTCTCTCACTCACACCCTCTCTCTCACACTCACCCTCTCTCTCTCACACTCACCCCTCTCTCTCCCACACTCACCCTCTCTCTCTCCCACACTCACCCTCTCTCTCTCACACTCACCCTCTCTCTCCCACACTCACCCCTTCTCTCTCACACTCACCCTCTCTCTCTCACACTCACCCTCTCTTTCTCACACTCACCCCTCTCTCTCCCACACTCACCCTCTCTCTCTCCCACACTCACCCTCTCTCTCTCACACTCACCCTCTCTCTCCCACACTCACCCCTTCTCTCTCACACTCACCCTCTCTCTCTCACACTCACCCTCTCTCTCTCTCACACTCACCCCCTCTCTCTCCCACACTCACCCTCTCTCTCTCACACTCACCCTCTCTCTCCCCACTCACCCCTTCTCTCTCACACTCACCCTCTCTCTCTCACACTCACCCTCTCTTTCTCACACTCACCCCTCTCTCTCCCACACTCACCCTCTCTCTCTCCCACACTCACCCTCTCTCTCTCACACTCACCCTCTCTCTCACACACTCACCCCTTCTCTCTCACACTCACCCGCTCTCTCTCACACTCACCCACTCTCTCTCTCACACTCACCCTCTCTCTCCCACACTCACCCTCTCTCTCTCACACTCACCCCTCTCTCTCTCTCACACTCACCCTCTCTCTCCCACACTCACCCTCTCTCTCTCACACTCACCCTCTCTCTCTCTCACACTCACCCTCTCTCTCTCTCACACTCACCCTCTCTCTCCCACACTCACCCTCTCTCTCTCACACTCACCCTCTCTCTCTCTCTCACACTCACCCTCTCTCTCTCACACTCACCCTCTCTCTCTCTCTCACACTCACCCTCTCTCTCTCTCTCTCACACTCACCCTCTCTCTCTCTCTCACACTCACCCTCTCTCTCCCACACTCACCCTCTCTCTCTCACACTCACCCTCTCTCTCACACTCACCTTCTCTCTCTCACACTCACCCTCTCTCTCTCTCTCTCACACTCACCCTCTCTCTCTCTCTCTCACACTCACCCTCTCTCTCTCTCTCTCACACTCACCCTCTCTCTCCCACACTCACCCTCTCTCTCTCACACTCACCCTCTCTCTCACACTCACCCCTCTCTCTCTCACACTCACCCCTCTCTCTCCCACACTCACCCCTCTCTCTCTCACACTCACCCTCTCTCTCACACTCACCCTCTCTCTCACACACTCACCCTCTCTCTCACACTCACCCTCTCTCTCACACTCACCCTCTCTCTCCCACACTCACCCTCTCTCCCACACTCACCCTCTCTCACTCACCCCCTTCTCTCTCACACTCACCCTCTCTCTCCCACACTCACCCTCTCTCTCTCTCTCTCACACTCACTCCTCTCTCTCTCACCCTCTCTCTCCCACACTCACCCTCTCTCTCTCACACTCACCCTCCCTCTCTCTCTCACACTCACCCTCTCTCTCTCTCTCACACTCACTCCTCTCTCTCTCACCCTCTCTCTCCCACACTCACCCTCTCTCTCTCACACTCACCCCATCTCTCTCTCTCCCACACTCACCCTCTCTCTCACACTCACCCTCTCTCTCACACTCACACATCTCTCTCTCTCTCAACACTCACCCTCTCTCTCTCTCTCACACTCACCCTCTCTCTCCCACACTCACCCCTCTCTCTCCCACACTCACCCTGTCTCTCTCACACTCACCCTCTCTCTCTCACACTCACCCTCTCTCTCTCACACTCACCCTCTCTCTCTCACACTCACCCTCTCTCTCACACTCACCCTCTCTCTCACACTCACACATCTCTCTCTCTCTCTCTCACACTCACCCCTCTCTCTCCCACACTCACCCCTCTCTCTCTCACACTCACCCTCTCTCTCCCACACTCACCCTCTCTCTCACACTCACCCTCTCTCTCACACTCACCTCTCTCTCTCTCACTCACCCCATCTCTCTCTCTCTCACACTCACCCTCTCTCTCACACTCACCCATCTCTCTCTCTCTCACTCACCCCTCTCTCTCTCTCTCACACTCACCCTCTCTCTCACACTCACCCTCTCTCTCTCACACTCACCCTCTCTCTCTCTCACACTCACCCTCTCTCTCACCTCACCCTCTCTCTCACACTCACACATCTCTCTCTCTCTCTCCCACACTCACCCTCTCTCTCACACTCACCCCTCTCTCTCTCACACTCACCCTCTCTCACCCTCTCTCTCTCTCTCTCACACTCTCTCTCTCACTCACACCCTCTCTCTCTCACACTCACCCTCTCTCTCACACTCACCCTCTCTCACCCTCTCTCTCACACTCACCTTCTCTCTCACCCTCTCTCTCCCACACTCACCCTCTCTCTCTCACACTCACCCTCCCTCTCTCTCTCACACTCACCCTCTCTCTCTCTCTCACACTCACTCCTCTCTCTCTCACCCTCTCTCTCCCACACTCACCCTCTCTCTCTCACACTCACCCCATCTCTCTCTCTCCCACACTCACCCTCTCTCTCACACTCACCCTCTCTCTCACACTCACACATCTCTCTCTCTCTCACACTCACCCTCTCTCTCTCTCTCACACTCACCCTCTCTCTCCCACACTCACCCCTCTCTCTCCCACACTCACCCTGTCTCTCTCACACTCACCCTCTCTCTCTCACACTCACCCTCTCTCTCTCACACTCACCCTCTCTCTCACACTCACCCTCTCTCTCACACTCACCCTCTCTCTCACACTCACCCTCTCTCTCTCACACACACACATCTCTCTCTCTCTCACACTCACCCTCTCTCTCTCACACTCACCCTCTCTCTCACACTCACCCTCTCTCTCACACTCACCCTCTCTCTCACACTCACACATCTCTCTCTCTCTCTCTCACACTCACCCCTCTCTCTCTCACACTCACCCTCTCTCTCCCACACTCACCCTCTCTCTCACACTCACCCTCTCTCTCACACTCACCCTCTCTCTCTCTCACTCACCCCATCTCTCTCTCTCTCACACTCACCCTCTCTCTCACACTCACCCTCTCTCTCTCTCACTCACCCCATCTCTCTCTCTCACACTCACCCTCTCTCTCACACTCACCCTCTCTCTCACACTCACCCTCTCTCTCTCTCACACTCACCCTCTCTCTCTCACTCACCCCATCTCTCTCTCTCACACTCACCCTCTCTCTCCCACACTCACCCTCTCTCTCACACTCACCCTCTCTCTCACACTCACCCTCTCTCTCTCTCACTCACCCCATCTCTCTCTCTCTCACACTCACCCTCTCTCTCACACTCACCCTCTCTCTCTCTCACTCACCCCATCTCTCTCTCTCTCACACTCACCCTCTCTCTCACACTCACCCTCTCTCTCACACTCACCCTCTCTCTCTCACACTCACACATCTCTCTCTCTCTCACACTCACCCTCTCTCCCACACTCACCCCATCTCTCTCTCTCACCCCCCCCCCCCCCCCACCACCACCCCCCCCACCACCCCCCCACACCCCCCCCCACCTTCTTGAACAGGCGACCGTTTGGCTGCAGCTCCTCCTCGGTGCTGAGCAGCTGCCGCGTGCCGAGGCAGCGGCGTGTCGCGAACCGCTCCGCCGCACGGCCAAAGTAGCGGGCGAGCGTGCGGGCCTCGGGGAACTCGCGCGTCACCAGGCCGCCCAGGGCCTCCACGGCACGGAACGGCGCCGCCGGGTCGCCCGGCCTCACCGGCGCGGCCTTGGGCCCGGGGGGCCCGGGGGGCGCCGGGGACGGAGAAGGGGAAGACATGGGGCTGCAGGTCTGGTGGTGGGTGGTGGAGGATGGGGTAGGGGGGGGGGGAGAGGGGGGGGGGAGAGGGGGGGGGGAGAGGGGGAGAGAGGGGATAGGGAGGGGAGAGAGGGGATAGGGGGAGAGAGGGGATATGGGAAGAGAGGGGATAGGGAGAGAGAGGGGATAGGGAGAGAGAGGGGATAGGGGGAGAGAGGGGAAAGGGGGGGAGAGAGGATAGGGGGAGAGAGGGGATAGGCAGAGAGAGGGGATAGGGGGAAAGAGGGGATAGGGAGAGAGAGGGATGTGGAGGGGAGAGAGGGGATAGGGAGGGGAGAGAGGGGATAGGGAGGGGAGAGAGGGGGATAGGGAGGGGAGAGAGGGGATAGGGGAGGGGAGAGAGGGGATAGGGAGGGGAGAGAGGGGATAGGAGGGGAGAGAGGGGATAGGGGGAGGAGAGGGGATAGGGAGGGGAGAGAGGGGATAGGGGGAGATCATTCATGCACACGCTCACTCACCTCACTTTTCATTCACACACCGCTCACATCATTCACGGCACTCCAGCTCACTCACACGATACATACACCAACCAAATCACGTAAACCATATATATAGAAGACCAGATCATACAAACCAGAACATATACAAACAAGATCTCATGAACCAGACCCACATTGTAAATCCCTTAAAGCGAGTCCCATAAACCAGATCCATAGAGCGAGTCCAATAAACCAGATCCCATAGAGCGAGTCACATGAACCAGATCCATAAAGGAAGTCCCATAAACCAGATCCCACAATACACATCGAATCACGTACAGCCAAATCCCATAACCCATATCTCATAAACCATAATCATAAACCGTATCCTATTAATCAGATCCCATAGACGCGTGCCTATCAACGCTCACCATTATGAGTCTTGGTTCACAGAGGGGTCCCTACCACAGAGGGGTCCCTACCACAGAGGAGTCCCTACTACAGAGGGGTCCCTACCACAGAGGAGTCCCTACGACAGAGGAGTCCCTACCACAGAGGGGTCCCTACCACAGAGGGGTCCCTACCACAGAGGAGTCCCTACTACAGAGGGGTCCCTACCACAGAGGGGTCCCTACCACAGAGGAATCCCTACCACAGAGGAGTCCCTACCACAGAGGAGTCCCTACCACAGAGGAGTCCCTACCACAGAGGGGTCCCTACCACAGAGGAGTCCTACCACAGAGGGGTCCCTACCACAGAGGGGTCCCTACCACAGAGGAGTCCCTACCACAGAGGGGTCCCTACCACAGAGGAGTCCCTACCACAGAGGGGTCCCTACCACAGAGGGGTCCCTACTACAGAGGAGCCCCGACTACAAACGAACTTCAACGACAGTGGCTGCTTGGGGGTTTTATCAGAGGGGAGACCCCTCCCACCTCACCCCCCCCCCCCAGCCTCCCCCATTCCCCCTCCACACTCCCACCCCTGTGTGTTCTATCCGTCTCCCTCCCCCCTCGTCTCCCCCCTCCTCGTCTCCCCCCTCCCCCTCGCCTCCCTCCCCTGTCTCTGAGTTCCCCTGTCTCTCAGTTCCCCCGTCTCTGAGTTCCCCTGTCTCTCAGTTCCCCCGTCTCTGAGTTCCCCTGTCTCTCAGTTCCCCTGTCTCTCAGTTCCCCTGTCTCTCAGTTCCCCTGTCTCTCTCCCCTGTCTCTCAGTTCCCCTGTCTCTCTCCCCTGTCTCTCAGTTCCCCTGTCTCTCTCCCTTGTCTCCCCCCCCCACCCCTCACCCACTTGGAAAACGTGAATCAGCAGTGAATCAGCAGTGAAGCAGGTCTGTGTTGCTGATCCCCTCCTGCACCCACCACCACCCCCTCTACCCCCCCCATCTCCCACCCAACCCCCCCCCCATCTCCCACACCCCCCCTTCTCCCCCCCTCTTCTCCCCCCCCCATCTCCCACCCACCCCCCATCTCCCACCCACCCTCCCCATCTCCCACCCCCCCCATCTCCGACCCCTCCCCATCTCCCACCCCCCCCATCTCCCACCCCCCCATCTCCCACCCCCCCCATCTCCCACCCCCCCCCATCTCCCACCCCCCCCCATCTCCGACCCCTCCCCATCTCCCACCCACCCGCCCCCCCCATCTCTGACCCCTCCCCATCTCCCCCCCCATCTCCCCCTCCCCCATCTCCCCCCCCCCCCCCGTAGCACAATGGGACAGCCAGGACGGCGCAGGAAGTGACATCACACAGCTTCCGTCACGCCATGCAACGACGTCAAGCGGGAACTTCGTTATCGATGGTGGGGACAAAGTCGCCTTGGAGGGGGGGGGGGGGTGTAGCGGGAAAAGATCCGGACGACGTGCAAAATTATCATCCTTTAAAGAAATACACAGACAGTGCCTCGACTTACGAACGCACATCCTAACAAAGGCCGCAACTTAGGCACGCCCCGTACTCACGAATGCCCGCACTTATGAACGCTCGTACTGACGAACGCCCGTGCTTATGAACGCCTGGCACTTACAAAGGCCCATACTTACAAATGCCTGACTTACTAACGTCCGTACTTACGAGCACCCCAACTTACCAACACCCCAACTTACGAACATTCATCCTCACGAACACTCCAACTTACGAACACGAATCCTCACCAAGGCCTCAACTTATGAAAGCCCGACCTTACCAAACACCCCGACTTACGAACATACATTCTTACAAACAACAACAACCGCCATTCACCACTAAGTGGCGGTGACGTCACCACGACGCTTGTGCCAGGCTAGGTGCACCCTGAGGCCACGTGAAGTGTCGAACGCCCGCTGGCAGGAGGTCACGGGGCAGACCCAGGTGCCACGGGTCGACTGAGACGACTGGCTGATGCACCACCTGTGCCCCCTACTGTGCCAACCTGCTGTGCTTTAGCCACCCGGCGCTCCGCTCGTTGTTGTGAGCGTCGTTCCTCCGCCCTCCGTTGTTGTTGGAGGGCGACTGCCTCCAACTGCCCAGTAGCGTCCTTCACGAGCCTCCTCCACAGAGGCCGATCTTCACACCGCTGGTACCAGTCATCGGCAAGTCCACTCAGCTCCACGTCCTCCCGTACCACATCACTCCATCTCTTCTCTAGCCCGTGCCGTGCCCGTTTAGCCCCCTCAATCCGGCCGAACAAAAGCTGTTTCGGCATGCGGTGGCTGGGAATGCGGGCTACATGACCCAGCCATTGCAGCCTTGCCGCCGGAGGAGCTCACTGATGGGACCTTGCCCAGATCTTTCAAGGATTTTTGAGCTCCTCACACAATCCAGCCTGGTTAAACCCAGGATGGATCGTAGGGAGGCACAGCCTAAATCTTTCTAACCGGCGAAGATGTTCCGTTAGGGGGGGTCGACGTTTCGCAAGCGTAGAGAAGGGAGGGAATGACCGTGGCCGAGAAGACCTGAAGCTTAGTGCGGAGCGACAGACCAGGTAGCTTCCACACAGCGTTACGCAACCAATGAAAAGATATTGCCGCTCGACTGATTCGGAGTGAGACCTCTGCTGTTAAACTGTAAAGGGCCCCACCATACACACACACACATCCTTGCGAAGTCTTCTCTGGTTCTTTCGGTAAAGTCACCACGTAGAATGAGAATAAAATAGTAAATTAATAAAATAACACAATAAAATTCTCACGACGTTTCGGCCACAACACAAGCGGCCTTCATCAGGTGAAGGGACGAGACTGTCTGGAGGACAGCGCTGGAGCGAACACAGCCAAGCTCAGACCGCGACCTTTAAGCTGTTTGAGAAGAAACAGAGCGCCTTGACAAAGGAATTAGCATAAAAAAATTTGCATTTAATTGGCGGACTTAGCATGATGAAATGCTAAGTCCGCCAATTAAATGCTATTTTTTTTTATGCTAATTCCTTTGTCAAGGCGCTCTGTTTCTTCTCACACAGCTTAAAGGTCGCTCCAGCCGCTGTCCTCCAGGCAGTCTCGTCCCTTCACCTGATGAAGGCCACTTGTGTTGTGGCCGAAACGTCGTGAGAATTTTATTGTGTTATTTTATTGTATTATTTTATTCTCATTCTACGTGGTGGTGACTTTACCGAAAGAACCAAAGAAGATGAATCCTTGCAGTCACGAAAGCTTTAAATCGAAATCCTTGCGAAGGCCAAAACTTACGAACGCCCCAACTTACGAACACGCATCCCTACGAACACCCCAACTTACGCACACACATCCTCACGAAGGCCCCAACTTACGAACGCCCGTACTTACGAACGCCCGCACTGACGAACGCCCGCACTGACGAACGCCCGCACAAAACGACTGCCCCAAATTACGAAACCGGGCTTCCATTAAGTACATAAAAAAAATTAATTATTGACATAAAACGCCAACTCGCAATCGCAAAAGTGAACCGCGGAAACATTTTGTTCTCGGGGAGCGAGTCTGCCTCGTGCTTACGAGTGCACGTGCACGCTCACACGCAACGCACGCACACACGCACGCACGCGCACACGCACGGACATTGTGTGTGTGTGTGAGATGGTGATAGTGTAGCGGTTAGCGCTACGCTGCGCTATGGACCTGGCGACCCGGGTTCGATTCCCGCTCACGGCCAACACCGGTGGCGATATTCTGAACCGGTCCTTGGTCTCCCCTAGGTCGACTCAGCCTCAAATGAGTACCTGGTGCGCTGCGTAAAAAAACGATCGCCACCGCCACTGGGGAGACAAAGGCGGCCGGGCGTGGTGCTGACCACCCACTCCCTCGTGTGCCACAGTGCCGGTAGCCTTCAACAGCTGCTGCTCGCTAACAGCACTTGCCCCTACAGTCCTGTTAGAGGCTACACGGGGGATCTTTGTCTGTGTGTCTATAGGTGCTGCTCGCTAACAGCACTTGCCCCTACAGCCTGTTAGAGGCTACACGGGGGATCTTTGTCTGTGTGTCTATAGGTGCTGCTCGCTAACAGCACTTGCCCCTACGGTCTGTTACAGGCTACACGGGGGATCTTTGTCTTTGTGTGTGTGTGTAATTGTGGTGACTCATTTATGTATTTCTGACTACAAGCCACCATCAGGTCTCAGGCTAGGCGAAATAAAACAGATTTTTGTTTTTGCTATTTACGTCACTTTATTTTACCTTTTATTCACTATACACTACGTAAATTTTTTACAGTGTTACATGCAAACGTACATATCTAAAAACGCGACCAAGGGGAGAGAGAGACACGCAAACTCCAAATACACAGCAGATGTCAGGGTCGGGATCGAAACCCACGACCTCCTGCACACCAGGCGAGGTAGTCAACATCTCGCCAGCGTGATGATGATGATGATGAGAGAGATGAAAACTCCAAATATACAGCAGCAGCAGACGTCAGGGTCGGGATGGAACCCACGACCTCCTGTATACCAGGCGAGGTAGTCAACATCTCATAGCCAGTTTACACGTAGGCTTTCCCGACCAATATCATCCATAATAGAGGTTTTTGGGTTACATCGCGTGAATATATAAAATGTTGTGTCGTTAAAACCCGCCACCACCCGACAACAGCCAACTAGTAAGGGTTATCGCGTAAAGAGAAACGTGCCAGTTCGTCACTAGCACAACACTAGTGTATAGTAGTGTAGTGTATAGTGTAGTGTATAGTGTGGTGTAAAGTAGTGCATAGTGTAGAGTATAGTAGTGTAGTGTATAGTGCAGTGTATAGGAGTGTAGTGCATAGTAGTGTAGTGTTTAGTGTAGTGTATAGTGTAGTGTATAGTAGTCTAGTGTATAGTGTGGTGTAGAGTATAGCACTGTATAGTGCAGTGTAGAGTGTAGTGTATAGTGTAGTGTATAGTAGTATAGTGGTTGTCGTGTATAGTAGTGTATAGTGTAGTGTATAGTGTAGTGTATAGTAGCATAGTGTGTAGGTGTATAGTAGTGAATAGTGTAGTGTATAGTGTAGTGGCATATTAGTAATAGTGGTGTAGTGTATAGTGTAGTGATATAGTGTAGTGTATACTGTAGTGTATAGTGTAGTGTATAGTGTAGTGTACTCGTACAAGCACACCGGTGTGCTGGAGAGCCAAGCCACAACATTTACAATCCGAGTCCGACGTGTTCGCCAGTAATTACAACTAGCTTCATGTAGGTTGCCTCAGTAATCCACCCTCCCCCCCCACATTGTGCAAGAGCGCAGCTGCGTGACCAACGCAGCTGCGTGACCAACGCAGCTGCGTGACCAACGCAG